GGCGCGCGCCGCCGCTCACCGCTCTCCCCCTTCCTCCCGCAGCAAGATGTTCATCGGGGGCCTGAGCTGGCAGACCACGCAAGGTGAGCGCGGAGCCCCGCGGCCGGGCCGGGTTGGGGCCGGGGCGGGCGGGCACCCACGGCGCGCTCGCTCTCTTGCAGAGGGCCTGCGCGAGTACTTCGGGCAGTTCGGCGAGGTCAAGGAGTGCCTGGTGATGCGGGACCCGCTCACAAAGAGATCCAGGTGAGGAGGCCGCGCCGCCGACCCCTTGCCCCCGCCGTGGCCCTGCCGCCACTTTAACCAACTTTCTCTCTTCTCTCCCCATCCTGGCCCCCCTCCCCGCTCTTCTGCCCGGCCCGCGGTGCTCAGGGGCTTCGGCTTCGTCACCTTCATGGACCAGGCCGGCGTCGACAAGGTCCTGGCGCAATCCAGGCACGAGCTGGACTCCAAGACGGTGAGGCGACTCGTCGCGGCTCTGCTCCGAGCTGCTATCGGGTGACGCGTTCGATTCCACTTAGAGGTTGTAAATGTCGGTGGCCCGTGTGGGTCAGTCGGCCCCTTCTCCACCCTGCTTATCAGCGGGAAAAGTAGCTGTTGTCTGAGCGTGGGGTTGGGGTTCCATAGGTGCTCGAATAATCCGGTGGGGATTTGCGGCTCCCTGGGCTGTGGTTTCCATCCAGCCCATCGATCGCGAGGCCCCGTGGAGGAGTGAGCACGGTGCTCGGCGAGGCGGGACGGCTGCACGCGCGTGGGGTGGCCGCAGCAAACAAGGGTGCGCGGCTGAGGGGAGGCACTGCCGGCCCCCGCTGCGCCCAGCAGCTTTGCCCCCCTGCCCGGAGGCGTGCATCCCTCGCGGCACTGCTCTCTCCTCGTGGAATCCAAGGCCCCGTTTTCTCCAGCCATAGCTGCTGCTGCTTTGCTGGGTCCGCGTTTGCCTCTCGCATTTGCTCCTCATCTCCTGCGTTTTCCCCCAAATGAGGTTTTTGTAACGGTCGTGGCGGCTCAGGACTTTATTGTCTCCCGGTGCGGCGGGCGCCCGCCCATGTGCTGCCGGCTGCCTCGCAAGCAGTAGCCTTGCTCCGGCCTGGCCGCACCGGGGCGAGCCCTGGGTGACGCGCGGAGCATCGCGCTGGCGGCCGCACCACGGGTCGGCAGTGCCGGGGAGCTGGGCAGGCGGTTTTGGGGGGTGGGGGGTAAGTGTCTGAGTGGGAGGTCCTTTCTCTGTAGTTCTAGCGATTTGCCTGCTCTGAATTCCTCTTTCTTATTGCTGCCCTGGGGGTGAAGGTGAGGGGAGCGGGACGGGGGGGTGACGAGGGCTTTGAGCGGGTGACACGGTGAGAGAAAAAGTTGCAGCTCGGAGTGGGGCCTGGCGAGGAGCACCAACGTGTAACTTGAATTCCCGTGCGGTAGCTCAGCCGTCCTGCTCTTTATATGAGCAGAATGGAGAGGGCGGGCGAGCGAGACCCCCTTTCCTAAGGTTTACAGCATGAGTTGCAGCGAGATTTATGTCTGTTCCTGTTTAACTGCATGGATCGCTCCCTTTGATGTGTGCAGGTCCTTCCTCCCCATGGGAACTCCTGGTTAAACCTATCCCAGCCTTCCTCGCTGAGGGTGGATTCCCAGGACTCCTAAACCTCATTCTTTCGTGAGGGATGTAAAGGGAGTTTTGCTCAGGGGGAGGCTTGCAATACAGCGTTTTGTGGAGGGCCCGGGGTTTTTGTTTCTTTTCTTTTTCCTTAGTAGCCTGCGTAAGCTCGGTGCCTGATCCGCTAGTCCCGTCATGACTCTGTGGACTGGCACAGACCCCTCTCAAAAAGGCAAGTGGCGGGTGTCTGCAGCAGTAGTGATCCCTGAAGCGTTTTGGGATGAGGAACAAGGTGAAATCCCTGCTCTTCTGTCCCAGTGGCCATTTGCCTGGATCCATCTGCAGCCGCTCCGAGAGGGGGGGAAGCGGCCAGACAACACGAGGGCCTCATGGCCGGCCGTTGTAATTCTGCGAGGGTAGCAGTGGCACTTGCACCCTTCCTGAGTTGGAAACTTCCATCTCTGCCCTCTGCTCCCTCTTGAATTTGATTTTGCTCCCTTTTAACCCAGTGTTTTGGGGTTTACTGTCCAGGGCTCACCAGGTGGAGAGCTGCTGGGAGCCTCCATGTGCCTGCTCAGCTGAGGGCTGCCGCTCTGAGTCACGGGTTAAATGGCACAAATTCATCTCGGTTCTAATTTAGGCTTTCACACAACTTTGCAGGAGAGGCTGTGTCCTGGGCAGCCTGGGCTGGGTGTCTCCTGTGCCGGGTGGCCGCTGTCTGCCCAACTTGTTGCTCTGTTGTTTTCCGGTTCTTCCAACCCTACCAAGCGCCACTTGCCTGATTCTCTCTGGGGAAACCTTGTGCTTTTCAGACTCTTCTTTGTTTGCAAGCTAGATAGTGGCAGACAGTGGTGTTATTTATGGAAATGCTTGATAGGAGAATTGGCTTTGCAGTCTCAAGGTAAAAGATTTGTGTGACTCTGTAAAGCTGAAGCCAGCCGCTGCCTTGAGCTGCTTCGTTTTGTGCCGGGGAAAGGGCAGTCCAGGAGCCGCTTACTTGCTGTACGGCCTCTTTGTTGCCGCGTTTTTGTTGGGTTTGTCTTTGGGGGCAGAGAGAGAAGCACAGCCCCCTGGCGAGGTGCAGTGCACGGCGAACCCCAGTGTCTGCTCTCTGAGGAGCTGTGCCGTGGAGCTGGGCACTGATGCACCTGCAACATCAGCGAGGTTCCTGTCCCAGTGTCTTGCAGGGCAAACAGCGAGTGGCCGCTGCTCCTCCTCGGCAAACCTCCCTTTGCTGCAGTTTTTCTACTTTCTCATATGGTCTGAGCACTTCTGAGTGCTTTTACTCATAGCGGATTTATATCTAGCTCTGTAGAAGGGATCTGTTGTGTCAGTGGGTGACACTGAAAAATTACTCATCCATGGCTATGTATTTTAACACCAGAAACGGGGGAATAAGGTACTGGTGCTTTTGCTTTAGTTTGAAGGACTCCGGCGGCACAGGAGCAGTGCAGCCTCAGTAACCAGAGCACGATGCTGAAGTCACTTCCCTGCGCATGTCCCCTGGGCTGCGCTGCCGGCCAGGCCTCTCTCCACCTGCAACAAAGGCTGCTTGTGCAGAAGAATTTGGGAAATGACCGCGGACTGTGCTCCCCGCAGCCGGGTGCACGCGTTATCTCAGCCCAGTTGATCATGCTCGAGGTAATGAGAAAATGAGGCCGAGTTTAGCACGACGGACTATGAAAGCATCTTCTTGGCAGGAGCTGAATGACACTGGCTGAGGACTAAGAGACAGTAGATTATTGTTTTTGCTTATTATCTGCCATCAGTCTCCTGGTCTCCTGTTGTCCCCTGTCCTCAGTGTCCGCTGTGGGTTTTGGCGCTGGCTGGGAGGCTGCGGGGGGAGACGGCACTGTGCCCTGCGGAGGTGTCCGGAGGCCGTGCTCATCTGCCTGCACTCGCAGCTGGTGCAGGGGGGTTATTTTGGAGTTTATTGTGCTCTACACTTTTGCCTCTGCTGACCTGTGTGCTGGGTTTATTTATGTAGTAGGCTGTGAGTCAGGATGGAGATGAGGAAAGTGCAAGGCTGAGCTCAGGTTTGATGTGACAACTGGAAGGAGGTGGCTGGGGTGGCAGAACAACGGCCAGGGTGACACGGCTCCCATGAGAGCAGCCGGGCCGGTGGCATGAGGCTGGGCTGCTCTGCACCCACAGCCTTCTCAGGGATGAGCCAGCTCTGCCTCTAGCACAGGTCTCCTTAAGCTGATTTGCGGGTCTGGATCATCCCCAATGTGATGTAACTTTACAAGAGTTGCAGTAAAAATAGGCTGGAGAGAAGGAAGCGGTGGTGAGGAGGAGCTGAGGCCTCTACGGGCGCTTAGCTTCCAGCAGCGTTGGCTTTTCCCGGCTGAGCCGGCGGCGGCACAATGGAGGCTGAGGCGCGCGGAGGCCCTGCTCCATTGTGTGCCTGTGGCGCGGCGGGCAGGAGGGGCGAGCGCCGGCCCGTGCCGGGCTCCGCCGCTTGCTTTGCACCTTTCTGCCCGCTCTTTTATTCTTTCATCCTGCATTTTATGGGATGAGGTGTTCGGCTCTTTGCTCACTACCGTTTTTCTGGCCTGTCACCCGCTGGGTGAACCCTGTGTGTGAAGGGGAAGAGCAAAAGGACACAAGGAGGTGCTTTGAATGTGACGCCGGGGATGCAGGGCATCCAGCGCAGACCGAGGGGAGGGTGCAGCCGTGCTGGTTAATCCCAGCATGTGATGGGCTCGCGGTGCTGCCTGGCCGTGGCTCTGCTGCATGCTGGGACTTGTAGTCTCATGGTTGCACCTTGCGGGCAGATTTCTTGGGTGCTGACAGGGGCCCCGTCAGCAGAGAAAGCTGCAATCATGGAGGAGAATTTCTGTGTCCGCAAGCAGCCACCAAAGCACCCTCACCTCTTCTTCCCCTGCTCTCTTTCAGATTGACCCGAAGGTAGCGTTCCCCCGCCGAGCGCAACCCAAGGTAGGTACCGGTGCTGCAGCAGGGTGCAGGTTGGGCTGGTGAGTCTTGCCCCTCTCCTGAGTTTGCTCAAGAGTCACTGAGTGGGACCTGCTCTTGTTCCAGCGTGCTGGGCTGCGGGACAGCCGCTGTCCTGCTTGTGGTGGAGCACAGGAGCCTGTGCGGTGCCGGAGGAGCCGCCAGGCCTCTCTGCTGTGCTGTGAGACAGCCACGGTTAGGAGTGCTGAACTAAACTCTGCCTAGGGTGACGCTGCTGCTGCCCAGCCTGCAGCCAGCATCTGGAACTTCTAGGCCCAAGGAGAGCAGAGCAGGTCCCTGATGTGCTGTGGTGCGGGTGGAAGGAGAGTCGTGCATGTGCCTGCACGCTTGTGCGTGTGAATGAATGTGTGGCAGAGAAGGAATTTCATTTTGTCCAGGATTTCACTGTGCGAAATGCCCTTGAGTGCTTCCGCGCTGGAAAAGGCAGAAGCTGTTTGGAGTTGGACCTTTTCTGCAAGAAGCTGTGGCATCAGATTGAGCAGTTGCAGGAACTTGTTCAAGACGTGCAAGTAGAAATCTGTAACTCAGGAGCCAACAGCAGGCTGGAGACTGCTTGTTAGGGTGAAATGCAGATTTGGGTCTCTGTTCAACTTTTAACAGTCTCAATTCCAAGCGCTTTCATGGGAGAAAGCTTGGAAGAAGGAGCGAAGTGAGAAGGGAAGAGGAAACTTGTGCAGGGAGAGAAGTAGAGGGGATCAGGCCTAGGGAGCAATTGGTAAGCAGGTATCCTGAGTAACTGGAGCCAGGAAGCACATGGTAGGAATTGGGTTAATTCCATTAAGCAGTTTGGTGACAGAAGGTGCTTTAGTGTTAGAACGGGCTGCTCTCCAAGCCAGGGAATTGCTGCGGATTAGCCCTATGCTCCTTGGGGTAATTAGGACCATGTGTTCCTCTGAGAGCAGGGGTGTAGCCAAGCAGCAAAGGGGAGGATGCAGCTGGGAAGCCAGTTCAAAGGATGTCAGAGAGCCTCAGTTCTGGCAGCAGTGGCCCCTCGCAGGGCAGCTAGGTCTGTCTTTGCCCTGGTTGCGGAGCGAGAAGCGGCCTCCCAAGGCAGGAGATTTAACTGGAGGCTTCTGAGCTCCGGTTAAGTGGCTGGAGATAGGTGTGAATGAGGCTTGTCCTGTGGGAGATGAGTGCTGGGTGAGCACAGCGCAGGCAGCCACCGTTCTGTCCTGGAAAGCTCTGCAGGCTTCTCCTGGGCAGCTGCACTTGTGCTGCACCATGGGAGAGGCTCTCTGTGCCCTACAAGCCACGGGACACCACAGGGAGGAGAAGGGCTCCACGCTAGCAAGAGCTGAGGTGTCCACGACCTGGTAACACTTGCAGGCAGGATGGTGCAGGGGGTGAGGGATTGACTGGGAATGTGCCTCGAGGTCCGCACAGAGACACGGCCAGTGTGTTGGGCTGCAGAGCTCCGCAACGGATGGAAACTCGGCCATGGCCAAGGGGCTTCCTGGCAGCAGAAAGGGGGGTTAGTGGCCTCTTGATTCTGTTCTCTGCTCCCTCTTGGTTTATTCGGTGAATTCCTGTCCTTCCCTTTTCCAGATGGTGACCCGAACGAAGAAGATATTTGTGGGTGGTCTGTCAGTGAACACTACTGTGGAGGATGTGAAACAATATTTTGAGCAGTTTGGGAAGGTAAGTCTCTTGAGTGGGGCTGGATCAAAGCTTCTGAGGCAAAAAGGAGTTTCCTGAACTCTTTTTGGAGGCAGGATTAGGAGATTGAGTCTTCTGCGTGGGGTTAAGTAAATTGAAGGTCAGGTACAAATGTTGAGTAGCTGTAACTTCTTTGCAGGGGCTGGAGCTTGTGATTCCTGCCCTGTGTTGATTTGAAATAGAGAGCTCAAGCTTGTTCTCGGAGTGGATGGGACCTGGGCTAAGGGAAGTGCTTTTCCCTGCTCCGTACGCTGAGGCCTCACAGAGCGTTTTGGGCCTGCAGGTTTGCAGTCTGTTCAAATGATGAAGGAAAGCTTGCAGACACTCTTAACAGATCTGCTCCAGCATCAAACTTGGGATTCTGGCCTTGGTTCTCATTCCAAGCCTTGTGATTGATACTTCTGTAATCCTTTATTAAAAATAAGCCCTTTGGTCCTGCAACTTCTCCTGCTGAGTCCTGGGCAAGTGGTAATGTTGATTTTGGATGTTTGAAGGAAATTTGGCAAGTAAACTGTGTTAGTGTGGCTTCCCCTGTGCCAGCTGCTGGTGCCAGGAAGGGAAGGCTTCAGTGATTTAAAGCCATTTGTGCCCTTGGTCCTTGACAGACATTTGTGCAAATCGTGTGTGGGACAGAACCGGGGCATAGAAAGGGGCTCAGTCTTGGCCCTTCAGCCACATCTGGAGGCTGTGAGTGCTCTGAGATGCAGCAGCAGTAATACTGGACCCAAGGATTGCAACATTTTTAATAGGATTGGGAATGGGAGGGGATTGCCGTACCCAAATGCTGCCTGTGGTCACCTCTGGGGCAGAGCACTGTGACTGTTGCATGGTGCCCGGTGGTGGTGTGTGAGGATTAGCCCTTTGGGAAGCATTGGGTTCTGGCTTCCTGTGGAGGTGGTAGAGCAAAGTTTGCTTGGCAGTGATCTTGCCACGATGCTGCTGATGGCATCCTGGATCTGGGAGAAAGTACCGTAGAAATTGTAGTGAGTGTGATGCATGAAGGCTTTGGTTTTTATTTTTTATGAAAGATCATATAAAAGGGCTATATTATTTTCGAAGTGCATTGGCTAGCGTGAAGAAGGGGAGTTTGGTAATCAGTTTTTCTCTGTCATTTAGTACTTTTTATGGAAAAAAATACAGATTTGGTACTTTTGGAACAGCTTTTGCTGTATCAAAATTTTCAGGCAGAAAGTTTGGGATGAGTGTTGTTCAGCATCTGGAGTCAAATCTGTGCATGGCCTGGGTTGCTATAGTAACTGCAGAGTGGGACTTCTTGGTGTTTCCAGTCAGTCCTTAGAGAAAGTGCAATGTGGCAAGTGGTCGGAAATCCCTGTTTGCTGCTCGTTAGTTCTGTGTGATTTTCTGTGTTAAAAGTAAGCAAACTGTGTCGTATCCCTGGCAGCTTTTGCACAGTGTCACTGAGGGACATCACTGTGAGCACTGTTGTCCATGTGATGGCGTAGTCTGGAGACTGTTAGTTTGACTTGTCTGTGCTTGCATGTTGCTGCCGTTGCAGACGCTCAACGGAAGACCCAAATATCTTGGGCATAACCCCCTTTTAACCTTACTCGTCCCTCTTTTAATTGGAACCAGAAGTATATCATGTAGCACTCGCAGTTTACAAGCATTTACAGTCTCTTGCTCCAGTTTGAGAAGTCTTTTCCACTTTTGGGGTGTCATGCTGTTGTATTCCTCTTATTTAATGGTCTCGTGTTGAAAGGAGTTGTGACGTTGGGAGAGTGGCAGGAACTGGTTGTATCAGATTGTTTGCTCGGACGAGGCAGAAGGGAGAGTTCTGCGCAGCTCAGTGCAATTCACGCTCAAAGAAGGAGCATCCTGGACAACATCCGGTGCTCAGAACATGAATGAGGCTAACGCAGCTGCCGCCTTGGCTCTGAGGAGTTTCCCGGGGAGAGGTCAGGGCTGCTCGGATTGACTCCCTGTCTTGGGGCAGCTCTCTGAGTCATCTGGCCAGTTTGGCTGACGAGAAACTCCCCAGACCTCTAGTAAAAGGCTTGTCTCCCAGCTTGCAGGCTGAGCCTCAGTTAGTTCAGTGAAGGCCAGTACTGTTTCCTGAGCAGCTCTCTGGTCCCCAGCTCCACGGGGGTGATGTGTGGGATCAGTGGGTGTGGGATAGGCTTTGCAGAGGAAGCCTATGTCACAGGCAGCTCTGGGGTTCTCAGCTCTGAGCGTCCTACTCTCTGGTTTCTAGGGCTCAGAAATGATGGTTTATAATTTCAGATGTGACTCATTTTTGTCAAGAACATGAGTTTAATACTCAGGCTTTTCTGGAGTTTGTTACGGTGCTCAGGGACCTCTTGTTTTTCAAAGGTTCCCTAGCATCCCTTCTTTAGTGTCTGACTGGTTCTTGGTGTCTGACTCTAGGCTCTCCTATCTCCTGAATTTCTACTACCATTAAATGAGAGGTGATGGAACTTCAGCCATGTCATCCTCATCTTAGAAAACTTTCTTTTTTTTTTCCAGAGAGGTTTTCCGAGTCATTGGTGGAATTGGATGGAGACTGTCTCAAAAGCAATTGTTGTGGATTCCCTTCTAAAGCCTTATCCTTTAAGGGAATGACTTTGTGTGTGTTCCCTCTTTTGAATACCCCCATGGCTGTTTAGGAACTATCAGGGAGAACATTTACACCTTTTACTTGCTGTTGTCGAAGGAGCCCAGCAAATGCTTAAATTCTAGTGTGAGAAGAAAGAGAGGAGTGCACATCAGAGTCCTAGTTCTTTAAAATCAAGCTGGCAGGTTCCTGGAGATGAATATTAGTTGATCTTTGAGAATCCAATGTCAATCTCGGTTTGGATCTCACCTGTCAGTGAGAGATCATCCTTTGCTTCTGAGGACACAGGAGTACAAATAACTGAACGAGTCTCAGGTGAAGATTATCCTCTAGGCACCCTTGGGATTGCGAGCCTGAGCACGTGGTAGGTTTGCCTCAAACTGGGAGTGATGCATTTAGAGGCATTCGTTCTAGTCCCGCCAGAAAGCATGGGCATGCTGTAAGAATTACTAGAGAAAATCCTACAGCTTCTTAATACAGAGGAGGTCGAATTAGATTAACCTTATGTTTTCCCTGGTCCAAATCTGAGAACCGCTAATTTGCGGGTCTATTCGGATAGCCAGTCTGTTGCATCTGTGATCAGCAGCAGTGTTCCTTAGCGGAAACGGTGGAAGTTTGGTTTGTTTGATAGGACTGAAATGGAATGGTTTCCCATTTCAAAAAAACAAAATTCCCAAGTCCGACGTTTCCATTTTGGCACTTTCCCTTATTTTCTTATCTTCGTGGGTTTTTCTGTTTTGTTTTCTTCCCTTGCCGAGTCCAAGACTTTCACTGAGCTTTTTAAAATGGAAGTGTCAAAAGAAACATGAAGATGTGTGTGAAGGAAATCATGAGCACTATTTTGGGGTAAGGAAGAAAGAGGAGAGAGAGGAGCAACCCCTCTCCTTCATGTCAAAATACTTAGCTTTGACAGGAAAAGGTGAAGCTTCAGAGAGGATCCCAAGTACAGCGTGAGAGTTTCTCTGCTTCAAAGGAGCACTGATTTCTCATTCTTTTCTTTTCAAAACTGTCAATGAAAAATATGGGCTGCTGCTTTTATGAGGACAGAAAATAAAGTTATTTTTGAGTACAGTGACAGAGACTGGAGTGCTCTCTATCTGGCTTCAGTTTATCGTGTAGCTACTAGGCTTTGAATATAGTGGAATTGTGTAGGAAGCACTTCTAGATCCCAAACTCAAATCTTTCCTAGATGCAAGCTAAGACCATGGGCATAGTTTTAAAGGCAATAACCTATTCAGCTGCAGGACAGAAATACTAGGGAGAATTGCACTCATAGGATATGTAGCCAAATGTCTCGGCTCAGGGTGGCCTGTTGGAAATCTTTAGGCTTCCCATGAGATTGTTTCAGCAGCTTCCTAGAATGAGGCTGCCAGCCTCATTGAAACTTGAGCCAGAAAGAGAGGAGAAAGGTCCTTTCCCCCTGGACCTCAGGCTTAGCTAGTCCTCTCGGTAGTGCAGCATGCGTGAAGATGACCTAGAAGATCTTGACTCGCAGCTTCTGTTCTTTAACTCGTAGAAACAGGTTGTTCTATGTTATTTTAGGAGGACTGACCATCAGAGTAATTTCTTTGGACAATTAGGTATATTTGCTTCACATTGTATGTAGAAGAAAAAAAAAATCAAAAAAAAAACCCTCGAAAAACTCTGTCTTTTCAGGGATTGGTCTGGTGAAGTTGTGGGCTAGAGAGTGCCAAAGTACAAGCTAGGAGGTTCAGAAGGTCTCTCTTTGCCACAGAGCTTACAGAAGCTGTGAAATTTTTGACCTAGGATTTTGTTACTTGAATTTGCTTAGGTTCCAAAGTGATTGGACAGATGCATGGTTGTTTTTTTAAATACGTAGACACCCCTTAGAGTTCAGGAAATAACTGAATCACAAATGGCTGGAAGGTGAGGGAGTCTGCTGCAGTATATGACAGTAGCCTTGCCCTGTCCTTATGTCTTCCCAAGGTGACTGCTGTTGGTCGGTATCTTGGGGGGACCTTGGGCAAGGTGGATCTCTGTTCTAACTTGATGGAGTCTTTAGTTCTTGGCAAGTGTCTTTACAAAGAGAACTAGAAGCTAGAAGTGAAGAGACATTTGGCTTTATTTGCAGAAGAAATAGGGGTCTGGAGCAAAGTCTGGTGTTTGAACTTATGCTTTTCTTTCCTGTGTGTTTTTTACATTTGATAAGCAAAAATACAAGAAATATATTCATGATGACATCTTTGCATGACTCACTAATCAGTTGTGGCTCCTAGAGTGCTTGACAAGCGCTTGAAAACATCTCTCCCTGAGCCTGCAGGTGATCTGCATATTTGGATGAGTTGGTCACGAAAGTGCAGCCTCTCAGTCAGAGATATCATGCCCAGAAAGAGACCCGCTCCCTCTAAAAATACCCTGGGAGCAAATGGAAGAGAGAAAAAACTGCTGAGGTCCGAGTGCAGCTCTGACCTTTTGGTTGCCATCTAATACTCAATCCAAATTCCAGGCTGTTTGCCTAAGACAGGTTCGGAGATCTCATGGGGCAATGAAACTAGCGCCGCTCAAACCAAGAAAATGCACAGTATCCTGAGCTGGATTTAATGACAGTTTGTGTGTCTGTCTCAAATACATATTCATGTACACCTGTCAGAGAAATGGTGTGGTTGACTTTGGGTATGTGAAACGAGCTTTCCACATTCACTAATTGGAGGACCTTTAGATATTAATGGGAAGTTTCTTTAAAGACATACTTGCTCCTGTGCTCATGTTGGGCCTGATTTCCCTCACTTTTCATTGGGAGAATGCTAATTATTCTTTAATCTGCAGCTCTCTGGAAAATCCTGGGATCAAAACTACTTGTCAACCTGCAGTGGAGGTTCCACAATTCCGAACTGGATTTTGGATTTTCTTCCCCCAGATCAGAGGGCAACTTATGCTAATTCTCACGCGTAACTCGGTTGCAGTGAACAGATGGGGAGGGGAGGCCAGGGGGAATCTGATCACCTCTCTTGTGTCAGTCGGCAGTTTGGCTCATGGTGACAATGCCCCTGGAACAAAGGGTGCTCTGTGCTCTGCATCTGGTAGGCAGATAGCCAAAAATGCTGCAGCATTAATGGTCATCCAGGTCCCTGCTGCTTCATTCGATATTTGCCAGGTGCCTGTGGAGCAGCGCGGGAGCAGGCAGGAACACCTGGACGGGCCAGCCCTCTCACCTGTGGCCGGGAATGGACTCTTTGCCCCCATTCAGTCTCACTTGCGGGGATTGGAGAATGCTCCTGCAGAAGAGAGGGACCAGGGTGCCACGTGGGCCCCGCAGCAGTGGGGTTTTCTCCTCTCCAAAGCGATGTGTCATGTTGGAGCAGTCAGGAGAATCTCTCAGGGTTGCTAATCCCCTCTCTCGGCAGGATGGCTGAGTGGTTTCTGGATCATTTGGTTTTTATTTCTCATGGTGAAGCTGCCTCAGCAGCTACTAGTCCTCTGCCTAGCTCTTTTTCCGCATGTATATGCGGCCACAGATCCTTTTAAAACCAGCTGAGCTGTGATTAGTTGCAGTTCAGGTAGAAAACACCCATCTCTGTGGTCAAAGCCCTTTCTTGATTATTTATAACTTTCTTCAAGATCTGATCACATGGAAGTGCATCCAACGTTTCTCCTCAAACTTGTGCTGGATTTTTTTTTTCTTTTTTCATCTGAATGAGCTGAATTGGCATCCTCTTTTGCTGCGACCTATGACTGTACCAGGAGGACTGAAAGATCTGTTGGCAGAGAGTGAGTAGAGCGAGGCTGAGTCATTGAAGATGTGGGGTCTTTTGACCAAGCCCTAGGCAGTTGGCCCTGTGTTCCCTTTGGGTACAAAAGGTCTCGTTTCTGGGCACCTGAGTATTTCAGCTAGGCTGAGGGCTGCTTTGGCAGCAGAGAAGCTCCGTGAAACCTATGGGTTGTTACTTCTCCCGTGCTGCTCTCTGCCTCCCTGCACCCCTGGACCTTGGCTATGGCAAGTCCTTCAAGGATTAGAGGTGGTTCCGCATCTCTTCTTTCCATGTTAGCTTCCCTAGGCCACAGCCTGTGTTTTGCTGCTTCCACTTGGTCTCTAAAGCTGGAGCAGGCTTGGAAAGATGGGCCGGGCAGAGAGGCGGTGGCGTGCAGGAGGACTCGGAGATGGTGCGTCAGCCCCCTCACTGCCAAGTCCCTGTCAGAGGAGTTATTCCCTGTCGGGGGGTGTTTTGGGAGCATGACCTTCCCCTCCGCTCCCTTGGTGTTCCCAGTCCCTGATCCCTGTGGCCAAGCGCGGAGAGAAATGCTGAAACCTTGAACTTCTCACCACCGGCGCAGGGCGAGCGCGGCCAGCACTAGAAACCCAAATAGTTCCTGGGGAGGGAGCCGTGACCGCTCAGCTAAAACGTTTTCTAGCAAAGCGATCCGCTGCTTTGACTGTGTTTAAAGAATTGAAACAAATATTTATTTAAGGAGGGGGAGCATGGGAGAAGACAATTCCCCCCCGCAAAAGCCTTTGTTAACTAGAGTCCCTCTCGCGGGCCGTTTGAGGAATAAATCCCAGGGGTGGGTGAGAAGCCCTGGGCGCCCTTTTCCTGGTGCTTCCCTCGGCCCTGGGTGGGTCCGGCCCCGGGGGTGGCGTGGCCGCCCCGGAAGGGCTGAAATCGCCTCAGGGCGGTTGGAGGGGCAGTCGCCCTGCGGCGCGGTAGCGCGCGCGCGGCCCCGGGGGGGGGGCGGTTGCGCGCGGCCCCGGGGGGGGGCGGTTGCGCGCGGCCCCGGGGGGCGGTTGCGCGCGCGCAGCGTTCTCCCCCCCCTCTCCCCCGCCCCCCCGCGGCGGGCCGGGCGCAGCGGGGCGGCTTTGTGCGCGCCGGGAGCGCGCGGCTAATCCCGGCCCGCAGCTGCCATTGGCGGCCGCGTTGCCCTGGCGACCGGCCCCGCGCGGAGCCGGCCCCGCCGCCGCCGCCTTTGTTGGGGCCCGGCGCGGCCCCCGGGGGTCGGGGCGCCGCGTACACGAATCGATGGCGTTGGATGCCGCTCTGAGACCGCCAAGCTCGTCTCACCTGTTGCCGTGAGCTGAGGCCAGCATAGGTGCTTTGCCTCTAGGTTTTGTTGGCAGCCAAAGCTGGCGGTGGTGGCGACAGGCAGAGTTTTGGTTGCAGAGGCAAGCAGGGAAGGGTTGCGTTACAAATCCAATCCTGCGTAAAGCTTGGGCCTTCCAGAAAGGTGATGAGATGGGGAGCTTGGAGGAGCTTTGTGGCAGGGGACGGCCAGGGTGCTGGATGTGCCAGAGTGCCAGTGGGGGTATCCGGAGCGGGACCGGCTGCAGACGGAGTGCGGCTCTGCTCTGGGCCAGCTTGGGACGAGGCTTCTCCTGGCACCTGCCATGGCAGCCGGGCTCTGGGCGGGTTCGCCTTCAGATGCACCGTGGACGGCGCCAGTCGGCACCGGGCTGGGCCCCTGCTGGGCTCTGCTTTTCCAGCTCTCACCCATGGATGTCATGGGGCTGCAGCTCATAGCTGGTATCTTTGCGAGCTGGCTGCATGTGTCTCACGGTGTGTGCTAGGAGGGGGACAGCTATGTGCCAGCCTCACCACAGACCAGCCTGGGGATCAGATTTGGCTTAGAAATAAATAAAATCAGTAAAACCCCTTGGAATATTTGTAACTGGTGCTGGGCTCGCCAGGCACGTCGCGCTGGGCAGGCACGAGCAGAGAGGAGGGACTGCAACGTGATGACCGGCCACCGTCTGGACCCATGAGCAGCGGGCCCAGGCGCTGCTCCACCTCTACCAGGGTGCCCGGGATGCTGTGGCTTGTGTTGGGTGTCCCGAGCGTGCAGATCTCTGCTGACTCGGCGCAGGGAGCGGTGTGAGGACCTGGCTGCCGCTGCCTTGCTCTTGCGGCGCCGCGCAAAGCCCAAGGGCACCGAGGGAGACGTCTCCTTGCTCGTGGCGGCCCTGGAAACGTTAGCGACGGCTCTGCCACCCTCGCGGCATTGAGCCGGAGCCGGGAGCCTCTTTTTGCCAATGGGCAAAGGCTGCGGGCACCTGAGAGAGGGCAGGAAGGCGGCTTCATCCCCGGCGGAGGAGGCGGACAGGACAGCTTCTGGCCGAGGCTGTGGCTCCTCTCCCCTGAGCATTTGCACGTCCAGTTTCATAATCGGATTAAGGCACTGGTATTAGAGAGGAGGGATGGGTCAGTGGGACAGGTTTACACTGGGGCTTACACGGAAGGGATTGCAGGGTATTTTTTAACCCTGCTCAGGCCGAGGCAGCGCCTGGTGCAGATGTGTCTGTGCGAGGAGACACCCGCCGGGGGAGATGGGGAGGGGGAAAGTGGCACCAGGCGGTGATGTGTGCGCCGGGGAGGAGAGCGGCACCAGCCCGGCGGGGGGATGGGGCGCCCGCGCCCTTCCCCCACCGCGCAGGCAGCCCTCGCTCAGGCCTTGCAGTAAATTTGCTCTAATTACAGCCTCCAGCAGTGGGAAACCTCACTTAGAGGAAAGGCTCCTCTGGGGTGGGGGTGGGGGCCGCTTCCCAGCTTTCCCAGGCGGGCTCTGTTGTCTGAGGCCTCTGCTTCCCCCGGCACCGGGAGGCCCCTTAGTCCTCTCCAGCTTTGCGTCTCTTCTCCCCCCCCCCCTTTTTAATTCTGCTCTCCTTTGAGGCCAGGATTTGGGAACAATGCGCTCGCTGCTCTTTGCCCCCGCGCGGAGCTGCAGGCAAACAAGCGGGGTCACTTGCTGCAGCGAGGGGAGGGGAGGCGAGGGCGGCGGGCAGCACCTGCCTGGAGCTGACTGTGGCAGCTCCCCTTCCCCTCGGGCTGCTGCTTTCACTGCTGCCTCCTTGGCACCGCTCTCACGGGCGCCCTTCTCTTTGCAGGTGGACGATGCGATGCTGATGTTCGACAAGACCACCAATCGGCACCGAGGTGAGAACGGCCCAGAGCCCGCTCCGCGGCGCCCGCCTGGGGAGGGTGGCTCCTCCTGCCGCAGCAGGGCGAGCAGGTCGCAGCTGCTCTTTATCTTGCCTCCAGTCGCCCCATCCTTTTGCATCTGCATCTCTCGCCGGCGTCCCTCGCAGCACAGAGGGCTTTTGTCCGGTGCATTTCCTGTGCTGCAAAGTTGCCGAATTGCAGATATGTGAGAGGCGGCGGCCCTGTCTCCTTCCCGCTTACCTCCAAGGCTCCAGCCCGCAGTGTCTGCCTTACCTTGTCCCGAGTAATCTGAGCTCCTGGAAAGCTGACACAAGAGCTGCTGGGTGCCTGCTTCTTGCCCCTTTCTCGGCCTGGAGCCCGCTTGTGCTCCCAGGTCACCTTTTCCTTGGAGCTGGCTGAGAGTCTGGTTACAGGATGGGAGCAAGGCCGTGGTAGCCGTGCTCTCCACACGCCACTCACCTGTGAGGGCGCCGGCCTCCTGCTCCCTGGTGTGTCTAGATCCTCTGCACACATCTTCCTGTTGGTGCGTGGCAGAGCTTGATGCCACATTTGCACCAGCTCAGAGTCTTTTTGGCAGCAACTCAAGCTGTAAACTTGGTGCCAGCCTCCTCCAAGTGAGACAGAGCTGGGCTGCTCTCATGTTGCGGTATTGGGAAAGGCTCACAGGCACCTTGGCCACCAGAGCAGCCCGGGAAACACTTCCTTGCTGCTCTAGGTAACCACCACATGCCCTTCCGAGCAGCCTCCTCTTATTTACTTATGTATTTTGAGCTTTCAATCTATTCTGGTCACCTGGCTTGTCTTAGAAGGGAAGAAAAGGTTTAACTCTTGTTCTTCCATTGATGCCCCCTGGTTGCTTGCTGCTAAAAGCAACGTCTGGTGGAGCTTGGAGTTGGATTTGGTGTCAGGTTTTTGTTCCTGATTTCCCAAGCCCCAGCTCGTGGTGTGGAGGTGAATGGTGGGTGTCCAGTTGGCGTGTGGGAGAGATGGGGGGAGTTTCCTTGCAGTACAGAGACAAAGTGGAGCTCTGGATTGGGGATCTTTGTCTGGCTTTAGGAGTTATTTCAATGTGCTGTGAAATTAGGCATTCTCAATTCTGCGAAGTTGAAAGCTGTTAATCCCAACCTGGCTGTAAGGCAATCTTAAAAACAGCCCCTGACCTACCCCAGCTCTCCAGAAGTGGCGAGAGGTTTCCAGGCAGGTAGCAGGAGGGATTTGCCCTGTCCTTGAGCCATCTCTGCCAAAACTGTCAGGGAGGGAGTTGGGAAGGGAGGTGACCTGGGAGCAAGGGGCAGGGGCCGGCGACACATGGTGTCCCCTTTTATCCTCAACTGACTTCACTTTGCTGAAACCTTGCAAATCCCATTGCTTGCTTGTGTCTGCCTTGCTCAGTACAACTGCAGGGCTGGAATTTATCTGCTTATCAAGGCCTTAGGGCGGGGGCTTTGAGGAGATGTGAGGGTGCTGCTGCTGGAGTGGTGCTTCTGGGGAGGATGGTGGTGGCCTGGCAAGCGGCTGCTCGCGTCTCCACCAGCTCTCTTTGTAGGAGCAGCTGCAGGGAACCTCCCAGTGTTACCAGCTGGCTGGTTTGCCTTGCAAATAGCAAAGTAAAGAAAAAAAATCCCTTGGTTTGGGAGTAGTTGGGTTCATAGAGGGCGGGAGGCAGAGAGAGGAGAAGGAAAAAGGAATCTGAAAAGGGATGGCCCTGTCCTTGTTTCCTATGCTTAAATGCAGGATCTGCTGGAGAGTGAAGCTGAGTGACGGCCATTGTCAAGGGCTGATTGTGCCACTTGAGGGGCCTGTGGCTCCTTCCCTTCTGCCAGTAAAGGGGTGCGGGTGGCAAGTGTGAACTGTGCACAGCGCTGACCTGATCAGGGAGTTTTGCCTTTTCCTCAGGGTTCGGGTTTGTCACATTTGAAAGTGAAGATATTGTGGAAAAAGTGTGCGAAATCCACTTCCATGAGATCAACAACAAAATGGTGAGTGCCCAAGGCAGGGCTGGAGCGGGACCCTGGGGAGAGCAGGGCAGCAGGGCTAGTAGAGCAGCTCCCCATTGCCCGCTGTGGCTCCGGAGGACACGTGGAAGGGCTGGGGGTGGCCAGGACCCGGTTTGGGCATCCCCGGGTGCTGTGCGTGCTCCAGAAAACCACTGCGTGCCCGCTGCCTCCGCGCCTGATCTTCTCCTTCTTGTGGCAGGTGGAATGTAAAAAAGCACAGCCCAAGGAGGTGATGTCCCCAACAGGCTCGGCGAGAGGGCGGTCCCGAGTGATGCCATACGGGATGGATGCCTTCATGCTCGGCATCGGCATGCTAGGTAAGCCAAGCACAGGCCTCTCCCGCTCCGAGCTGTTATCCAGGGAGCGCTTTGTGGTGCCGTGAGCTGGGCAGGGTGGCCAAGGGCAGCCGCTTTCCCTGCAAGGCCAAGGATGTTGTGCAAGCGCCGGGAGCTGTTTGCAGTCGCCACTTGCCCTCTGGTGGCACCGGGGAAAACTGCAAACTTGTGACTGTTGGGCTTCAGCTGGGGCTGCAAAGAGGTGACCGCGTGCAGGGGAGTTGTGTCCCTCCATAACCTTGTGAACGGCAACTCTCCAGCAGCTTAGGAGGACAAACCCGTGTGACTGAGCCTCGTCTGGAGTAACCTGCACCCGAGCATGTCCTCCCACATTTCTGTGGGCATTCTGATTAAATAGATGCTGGAAGAGCCCCAAAGCCTTCTCCTTAAAGTACAATATAAATATTCTCCTTAGCATTCAAAGGCTATGAAGACACCCTTAAAAATATAGTTAAGTTTTATCTCAACTTTATTGCTTTCCCATCACAAATTAAATGTACTAGAACTATCCAGTTAATATGGGACTGTCCTATATGAACCAAGTTCAGTACAGCCCCACTTATTTGTGCTTGGATCTGGGGGTCGAGCATGATCCCTCCAGCATGGGTGTTAGCCCTGGCTCTTCTCCCTCCCTCCTGCTCCACGCAGGCTCAGTCTGATCCGAGAGCCCTGTTCAGGCTCAGCAACAAAAGCAAGTAGTGCTAGGTGATGAGAGGCAAGTGCTGAACAATAACCCAAGAGGGGCAATTCTGTCTCCCCCGCTATGTTTCACTTGACTTATGGAAGAGAGATAGATCTGCAGCCCGTGATTTGGGGTTTGCCTTTCATAAGCCATCTGAATTTTAAACCAGCAAGCTCAAGCTGAGTCACTTGGGAAATCCACGTACACCTGTCTTGGCAATCTCAAGTCCAATACTCATCTCTAATTCATTGCCCCGCGTTCTGCAGGGCTTGCTGAGATAGGTGGCCAGTTCCCCAGGCAGTGGCAGGGCCGGCCTGCATGGCGCTAGGACGAGCGTCCTGCATGCAGCAGCACTGCTAGTGCAGGAGTGACTCGGAGCTAGTCAGCCTTCCAGATGCCTCCACCTCCCCAAGCTCCTGTTCATAAAAGCAGCTGATGCATCGGCAAGCTGTAGTTTGTAGAGCTGCAAGCTTCTGTCAAGAAGAGCTCAATGTCCTTACATGTTTTGGAGAAAGGGAAAAAATGAGTGAGTCTGCTAAGTCTCTTCTCCAGACTCGTGTGTGGTGCTTCCGCGTTTTCCTGGCTTTTCCTTTTAGCCTTGTTAGTTCTTTATCCTGGGTGGGTCTCACAGCTGTGCACAGATAGGGGCTGAGGATCCCGACCCTACAAGCTTGCAGTAACAGAGCTCTTTTCTCTCCTACCAGGCTACCCGGGCTTCCAAGCAGCCACCTATGCAAGTCGAAGTTACACTGGCATTGCACCCGGCTACACTTACCAGTTTCCTGGTGAGTGGGGCTCCCCACTCGTGTGTTCGGGCTGCCTTCAGGTGATGGGAAGCCCTAGCACTGCCCAGGACCAGGCTCTGCCCCTTTCACCCTTTTTCCCAGCTTGGTTTTTCTCTAAATTGGAGTCGGATGTGGAAGGGGGAGGGGCAGAGCCCTGGAATAGGTGGGAGCAGCCTATCCTTCATTAGGATTATCCTCACACTCCAGTGACAGGAAAAGCCCAAGGCGGCTGTGCTGTCCTTTATGTGAGCCTGCTCCTGGGGCTGCTGCCGTTGCGTGGGGGGGCCCTGCAGCTCTGCCTGTCTCGCTGCCTTTGTGTGTGTCTGTCTCTTCACCAGAGTTGCCACTGTTCTGAAAGCAGCACCAGATTTTAAAACTCATCTTCCCACAGGCCAGGGAATTCCTGTCTGAGACACAGGAGCCTGTAACGCTCCAACCCCTGTGAAATTGCTATAGGGCCAGGAGTTGTTCAAAACGAAAACATCTGCTGGGCTGGTGGCTGCAGATCCCCAGCGCACTGGGTGGTTTCGGTCTCCCAAGGCCACCATGTGCTCAAAACTTGGACGCTGCAGTCAGCGGTGAGAACCCGCTGTGCTGCAGCTGCTCGGGCCTTTCTGCGGCTTCTCCTTCCCGTTGTGCACGAGCCAAGCGCGCGACGCGGCGCACACGGAGATTACACCCTGCTGCTTTCCAGAGGAGTGGCAACTCTCAGCATCCCTTCCTTGCTCCATCCCTCAGTCTAACGGTTAAAATATCAAGGCCTGATATTAAGGGCTGGGAATGGGAAGTGTCATCTTAGCCTGAAGCAAAGCCAGGTTGCCTGTGGCTGAAAGTTGCTCTTGCATCCTAGCTCTCTGGAAACTCTTTGAATCCAGTTTATAGTGGATTCCCAAAACTGTGGCCGGTTCGATGCGGCACATCCTGAGCCCCTGTAGCTGAGAGGCTACGCTGGATGCTCGCAGAGCAGAGCTCCTGGACAGGCTTGAAGCTCAAGGGCTGAGCTGCAGAGCAAGGCTCCACAGCAAGGCTGCATTCGCTCGAGCAGCAAATGGATCCCAGCAGTCTCCAGGGCTAGTGTCCAGCATCTTTCAGCCCCAGTTCCAAGTTGGCATGAGAAATTGTTGGCATGGTCACAGCCCGGCCACAACCTGTCCCCCAGTGGCCCCCGCTGCTCTCTCTACGTGGGGTCTCCCTCAGGGTGGGTAACAACTTCCTAAGGTGTCTTGCATTTTGTTTTTAGAGTTCCGTGTAGAGCGGACCCCTCTCCCGAGTGCCCCCGTCCTCCCTGAGCTCACAGGTCAGTCCCGCTCGTTTCTTAAACTCGAGGCTGGAAGGGGAGAAGGGGGCTTTGGGTTGTTCCTGTGGTGTTGCTGCTTCACAACCCTGTGCAGCAAGACTGGAAATATTCCTTATTTCTTCCTCCATCTGTACTAGCTTCATCAGAAGGAGGGGCTGAGAGGATGGAGGGGGACTCAGAGCCAGGATGTGAGAAGGGCAGTGCGGGTCATGCCAAACGAAGGCAGGATGGCAGGAATCCCTAGGTGGCATTTGGGTTCTGAGCTCCTCACTGCAGGCCGCATGTAAAACAGATGCAGAAAAGCCGAAGCAAGCAGGGTAACTTGTCAAAGGTCTGCAAGGGTCCTTGGCCGGAGCTGCTGCCGGGATGAGTCCTGGAGAGCTAGGAGGAGGGAGGGGGTGTGGGGGGCACTCGTGGTTCCCCCGGCTCCCTGTGCCGGAGATGCCACAGGGAATGCTCTCCCGCTCTGGCTGCTGCAGCTCCCGGCTTCTGCCCCGCAGGCCCCCCGGGCAGCAGCGAGCGCTGTAGGACCCGTGGGACCTGCAGGTTCGCGCAGCGCTTCTGGGCTGACAGGGGGGCACAAGGCCGTTCTGCAGGGACTCCTCAGGCTCAGTGGATGTGAATGTGAATACCCCTCGCTGCTGAGCCCCTGGCCCACGTGCGTGAGCTGCTGCTAGGTGCTTCCTTCTGTAGCTTCTGTCTGCCATAGCCGTGTTTCCAGCTCTGTTCTGTCCGTGGTACTTGTTGTAGAAAAGCAGCTTTCTGTAGCGAATGGCTGCCTCCCTATCCTCTCTGTGCTGTCCCGTGTCCATAGTGGCCCCCCTCTCCAATACTTTCCTGCCCTGCTTGTCTCAGAGTGTGAGCTTCCCCGTAAGGACGGTGTGGAAAATTTTTGAGAGAAGCTCTCCAGGAAGGACCCATGCATAAAGGGTTGAGAGGGAGTTTTCATGGCACAGGACAATGTTGATCCTCAGGGAGTCTCTGTTCCTGGGGATGCTGAGGTTGGCAACCACCAACTAACAAATTGCCCAGAGAAGGGAGAATTCCCAGCTCCCTCTTAATAAAACCCATCCCTGAAACCATGCGTGCAGCTGCACGACTGCCTGAGCCCCACTCGGAGCTTTTTGGTTACCAGACAGAGGAGATTTTGAGTCCAGCCTGTATTTACACATGTGATTTTTCCGCAAAAAAGCAGGGAATTTGTAGAGCAACGTTGCTGTGTGAGTGAGCGGTGCTTTTTCCCTCGCTGATGCCTCTCCTGGTGGGGGGAATCGCCCGGGGCCTGGCTGTCCCCAGTGGCCAGGGCACGCCAGGGCTCCGCACAACAAGAAGTTACTAATGCTGCGGTCCTGGCGAGGAGCCACGCTGGCTTCCAGTCCCGAGCGCCTCGCTGAAGGAGCAGCTGGGCGCCGTGGCAGCCTTCCTTGCCCACTCTGCTTGGGTCCTGTTAAACATTCACTCTCTTGGCTAGCGTGAGAGTGGCAGCTCCTGAGTGTGGTCTGGGGCCGGTGCCGCCGAGCGGGCAGCCCCCTCACTCCTGCCAAGGTGCTGTGAGCTGCGTGAGTGCTCAGGGGCCCTTGTGCCTTGAAGAGGATGCAGGGGTGTAACTGGCTGCGCTCAGCAGGCTTGGCAGAGTGGCCAGAGAGGAGGGGTGGCACAGGCGGTGTTGGTGGCACCGGTGCACTGGGGAGCGAGCAGCTGCCTCATCCTCACCAAGCCCCCTCCTCGGTCTTTGGCCCGTCCAAGCTGTTCCTGGAAGGAGGCTGGGGTCTCTCTGAGGAGACACAGCCTCCTGTCCCCATAGGAGCAGGTTCATTCGGCTGCATGTTAGTGATTTGAGGTAGGGAAAGGGCATGGGATGGACAAGAGCTGCCTTTCCACCCCAGAACAGCAGCTTTGGAGTGATGTAAAGCAGCAACATGTCCAGGTTGGCTCAGAGCCTGTAGAGAGCAGCTAACCTAGCTCTAAGCCCCATATGATGTGTGCCTGAAACAGGCCGGTGCCTGCTGCTAAATATTCCTGTATAAGCTAGTCTGCGTTGCAGCCTTCTAGCGCGATTGATTTGTTCTGACCTCTTTTTATGGTGTTCTAAACAGAATCACAGCGAATTTCACATTCAAGCATGAAATGCTGACCCAGTCGTTTTAAGGGCAAAGAGAAACATACTGGCTAGATGCCTCCTGCCCTGAGGGCTAGACGCCTGCAGCACAAGAAGAGGGAATTAAAACTGTTACATATAAATTAAGACTTATGGTCCTAATTAAGCCATTTCTAGCTCCTGCTCCCTAGGTGTGTTTCCCACTCTTCCACAACAAACAGCAAAGGTTGAGTGGGGGAGTTGAGCAGTTCAGGAGCAAAGCTCAGTGCAGGGAGGCTATTGCTGCTCAGGAGCGCCCAGCGTAGCCACAACGCCTCTGAGATGCCTCCTCCTTCCTTTGCAGCAATCCCCCTCACTGCATATGGACCAATGGCGGCGGCAGCGGCCGCGGCGGCCGTGGTGCGAGGGACAGGTAACTGCCACTTTCCTGCCCAGCGCTGCGTCCCGCTGCGGAGGTTGGCTCTGGGCACGGGCAGGGGGGAGGGATGGGGTTGCATTTTTGGGATCTTCACTTGGTAGTTTTGCTGCCTACCTTAGGTTCTACCCCCAGCCGCACCGGTGGATTTCTGGGCACCACCAGCCCCGGGCCAATGGCCGAGCTGTACGGAGCCGCCAACCAGGATTCAGGAGTGAGCAGTTACATCAGCGCCGCCAGTCCAGCCCCGAGCACCGGCTTTGGTCACAGCCTAGGGGTGAGTGTCCCCAGCCCAGGCTGCTGCTGCCTCTCCCTGACCAGTGCAGCCTTGTCCCTCTTCCAGCCTAAGCTCCCCAAGGAGGACTGTGTCCTCCGAGGTGGCTCCTCAGAACTGGCACCTCCAACCAGGAGTGGCTGCCCCAGGAGCTGGCTCGGGGCTACCTTCACTGCTGGGGTAGCTCCGCTTCACTTTGCTCGTGTTGCTTTACAGCATGGTTTTAACTCTTCATTGCAGGGTCCCTTGATTGCAACAGCTTTTACCAATGGGTATCACTGAAGCTGGGGACCAAGGAGGCAGGAGGTAAGCGAGCTACAGGCAGGAATGGGAGGTGGGAGCTCAGTGGGAGTGCTGAGGTTGTGAGCTCGTGTTTGGGCTCCTGGGCACGAGCTGTGGTTGCTGCTGGCCAAGCCCACGTGCGGCAGGGCAGCCCTCAGCTCAGTGACACAGCCATGTCCCCAGTGACACAGCTCCCACGTGCTGGGAGCGCTGTGGCGAGATCACAGTGTCTAGGTGTGCAGGGGAAGGCAATGGGAGCGCTGACAGAGGAAAGGATTCAGGCTGCGTGGAGGCGCGATGCTGGGAGATGAGCCTGTCTCTAAGGGTTGGGGAGCCTCCTCCGTCCTGCTGAGAGGCATCTGGGGAGCAAAGTTTCCTTCCCTGTCTGGGAAGAGATGGGCAGAGAGGCAGATCTGAGCCTGACGCAGCCTCTTTCTGCCCCGAAGATGGGCCTGAGAGGGGACTTGTGGGTCATCTCTGCTGTGCAAACACAGCAGGTTTCCTGGTTTAGAAACAAACAAAAACTTCTCCAAAAGGAAGGCAGAAACTTCCAGGGTAGGGTGTCTGTGGCAGCATGGCCTGGCAGGGCTGCGCAGAGCCGAGCATGGGCTGGACCGCGGCACGGCCGCAAGCCCGGAGCACCGCAGCTCCTGGCCTGCCAGGCCTTGTGCTTTCCTTAGCTCGGGAAGCGTCGCTGCCATGCTGTGCTGCTGCTCTGAGACACGGAGCAAACTGCCTGCAAAAGTCCGTGTTGGGGCAGGTGGTTTGGCTATCAAGTACTTCTGTCAAATGGAGCTGGGGGGAAAACCACCACGGGAGCAGTCGCTGGCTGGTCTCGATCCTGTCCCTTGCCTCCCCCGTGTCTCCCACAGACTCCCCAGTGCCCACGCCGAGGATGGCGGCTGGAGGAGCTGGTGAGCCTCGGGGATGAGCCAAGGTTACCATTTTCTGGAATCAAACTGCACACTGCCGGTGGCTGCCAGGCTCCTGCCGCCCTGCCCTGATCTCTCCCTTTGACCAGACCACACTGGACTGAACCCGAGGAGATCATCTCGCTTTCTTATTAACCACCGACGGTTTACGCTTCCCCTCCCTGCCCCCCAGCCCACCAATTCTTCTTTTATTTATTTTAGTAGCTGTTAGTTTTATTTTTTTATTTTATTTTTTTATCTTTTTTTTGGGGCTCCCCCTTTTTGTTGTTTGCTCTTTCCCGAGCTAGTAGACATATTTTATGAATTGGCTTTGTGATTGTGTTAGGTAGTTTTTATTGAGGAGTATTTTTATTTGGCTTTGAAACTGTTTTGAATATTTTCAACTCTGTTGTTGTTGTCGTCAGTGTTTTTAAAGCACGGTATGTAACAAGAATGCAGTTCTGAAGGGAAGAAAGAGACGCAGAAAGAGCAAAGGCTAAGAGGAACTGATGTATTTCTATTTTTTTTAAAGAAATTGTTTTTAATTGTTTCTGTTTTGTAAATGTGAGGCTTTGAAAAGTGTGATCTGAAGATCACTCCAAGATCTGAAAATGTTGGACAGCGCTATGGAACAAAACAAATGTATATTTTGCTAAGTGAAAAACACTATCCTTACAGCTGAGAGAATTTCTGTTTTCCTAGGTTTAGTTTTACGTGGGGTTTTCTTTCTCCTTCTGTATAATATGTAAATATCGCGAGGTGACCCTGGCTGCCTCCGGCAGCCTGGCTCCGAGGAGCAGCTCCAGGTCCTGCACTTGGTGCCGCAGTGTGAGCAATACTCTCCAGCAGAATCCTGACAGGACTCCGTTCTTTTTTTGTACACCTTTTACTGTAAGATTTTAAGACCTCTGACGAGATGGAAGGTGGGGGTGGGGTGAGACGCACCGGCCATGGGCTGTGTGGCCGAGTGCGTTAAAGCTGCTTCTGATCGCTCCATGTACAGACTCATCAGTAGGCTCCGTAGTGCCAGCGTCTGGGTTGGCTTTAGGTAAAAGGGCTTGACCGCCACTGCTTGTCTTGGTTACTTTGCAAGGAATTCACTCTCCAAACGCTATTGCCCATGTCACGGCTGGCGGGGAAGAGGATGCTCTTGGGCGAGGGCAGCAGGAGGGATGGATGTCGCATCGCCCCGCGCCAGGGCACATTCCGGTGCTGGCTCTGCAGAGGGCATGGCGCCAGCTTGGGGAGTCATTAACTGGGAGAAAAGCAGGAGGGTAGTGATTTGGGGGCGGGTTAAGGGCTTCTCAGGGATTACACAAATTACAGAATCGCAGCTTCCCGTTTGCTTTACTCTGTGTTCCAAGAGGCGGGGGAATCCGCCCGCTGAGCCAGTCCCTTCTCCGGAGCCTACGGGAGCCACTCTGCCCAGGGCAGCCTCCAGCAGGAGTGTCAGGGGCAGGTTTGGGTCTGGATTAAGTGAACCAAAGACCTTGTTAAGGGGGGTGATTAAGCCTTTTATTAAGATGCAGCCAAATTCTTTTCCCAGGGAAATAATAGCTTCATCTTAAGTTTTAAAAATCATTCCCTCTCTTCCCCCAAACTGAGCCCCTGCGAGGGAGAGGGCCACTTAGGACAGGCCTGGAAGGGCTGCGTGCCCTAAGGGCCCTTCCCTCCCCTGTGCTGCCCCTGCTGCCCCCGGAGCTTGTCCTGACCCGGCCAATACGTTTGGAGAGTTCTGTTTAGGTAAGAGGGTACTTTACGGATTAGTACTGAAAACACAAAGCAATAATTTTTGTTACTGAGACAAGAGTCTGTATGTCTGTTTTTTTAAATATTTCCTAATTAAAGAATAGCTGCATTTTATTGGGTTTATTTTTATTCTATATACTTCAAATTTGGGTCTGCGGACAGCGCTTTCCTGCCTCTCAGTGAACGTGCTGAGCTGCTTCCGTGCCCCCTCCAGATACCCACGGGCCGGCTGTGCTGCCGCGGGCCTGGGGTTCACTCTGGCCAGCGCTGCCACTGCCTGGAGGCTGCGGCTCCGGTTTCAGGGCGGGCATTTTTTTAAAAAAAGAAATAAAGCTGTGTTTTTAAGCCAGTAAGTTATTACACTCCAATGTTTGTTCTCTCCACACCTGTAACCCTTTTTCCAGATTTCAGTTTTAAATTCCTAATAAATTATTTGAAAACTGTCCTCTCTGTTGTCATTTGGGTATGGGTGATTTCCTGGCAGGGGAGACTTTAGGCGAACTCAGACCTGCCTGGAGCCTTGTCCTGTTGGTAGGATAAGAGCACCGGGGCTCTAGTTCTGAGTTCTGCTCCGAGGTTTGGCTCCAGCCTCGTTTATAATGTGAAGCAGATCTGCTTTCAGCATGGACTGTGTCTCCTCTTTACATTACAGAGACTTCTTGAAGTTATATATAGGATGAAGAAAGCAGAAGTCAGCATGTTGTTTAGATTCTTGGCTCAGATACTCTTTGGATTCCTAGACTATATTCTTTGGATTTGGATACAGAAGACCAAGACCAAGGAAGGCAGATGTAAGAAGGGAAACTGCAGAAGCGGGAGGAAATTGCCTTAACAGATAAAGAAAACTGGAAGAAAAAGGCAAGTTATACTGTAACAGTGTAAAAGGGGGTGGGGAACCTGTACAGCAGTCTTAATGGTATACAATTTTTAACAATGAGGTGTATCTAGTGCAGGCCAATGTATTTAGGAACCAGCCATAAGCTGGGCTCTCCTCATGTGTGTCTTTGAAGGCCAGCAACAGGTTGTTATGATTTCTGAAGACCAAAAATAGCATTGGTGGAAAAATCTTATCCTGCTGGGCTTTTTCTCATCAGTCACTCTTGGAGCACTCACATGCTCGCGTTCTCACACTCTGTGCCTGTCTTGCTACCTGCTGGATGAAAGCCGAGATAGGAAAGTGTTCGCTGTTTGTGACTTTAAAAGGCCAATTTACTAATGGAAGGTTTTTTAGCAACATTAGCGGTAAATCAGAAACTGAAAAACGAGGACAAAAGGAACCGCAGCATCTTAGGATTCAGAGGGAAAAGAATTGAGCAATAGCAGAGACTCAAAAGTGGCAAAAGTAGCAAAGGAGGAGGAGAGCTTTCTGCTGAGGGGAAAGCACATTGATCTGTGAGTGAAGGATTCAGTTACTGTTTCTAAACTAACTGGAGCATGGACTGTCCTTAACATCAGCCTTTAATCTCTGCGCAGGGTTCTTGCTCTTAGACTTGAATCTGGATCTCAGCATGTTTGCCTGTTGAACCCAGGATGAGCGTTCTGAAAATTTAGGCTGCAGCAGAAAAGCAAGCTTCACCTCTTCCCCAGCTCCTAAAGCCATCAACTTGTGTGGCTGCATCTGAAATAAATGGAGGCTCCTGATCATGAGGGAGTTGTCCAGGTTCTAGTGTGTAAAAATGCCAAACTTGCAGCCTTGAAAGTGTCAGAGTTGATGGGCTCTGAAAACAAGCAGAGCATTTTGGACTAAGCCCAGGCACCTGCAGGAGGCTTTTCCTCACCTCGTGTTTTGGCGAAGGGAACCAAGGGGATTAACTGGCTTCTGGGTGTCAAAGAAAAAGAAACTGCTCCCTCTGACCTGAGGAAATCCACTGTATGAGCTAGAACTTGTAATCCCCGCTGACTTGCAGTGTGACACCACTGAGGTGATTTAAGGATAGGTGCAAATGTTTTTATAAGGTGGGTAGTATCAGCTTTCCAGGGAAGTGAGTACTTTGCCACTTGCACAGGGATCCAGCGGCTCCTGGACTGGCTGAACTTGCAACCACAAGGAAAAATCAATGACTGTGTTTCCAGATGTGTGGTTAAAGTTACCGACTAGCATAGGAATTAACCTCCTCTAATTTGGAGAGCTGGGATCCTGTGTGAGATGGAGAACAGGCAGATGTCTGTGGGCTTACCTTGTATTTTAAGGAAAGCTGCACTTACCAGGCACATTTTGATAAGTGGAGGAGAGAGTGGATTTTTAAAGGAAAAAACCCTCCAACCACCTTTTCCAGAGGGCTGCTAATGTAGTTGCTGTGAAGATGTCGTGTGTAAAGACATAAAACATCACTGTGCCGATGCCTGAACTGCAGCAATCTGCCTGGATTCCGGTCGCTTCAGCTCATGCCAAGTGGCCATCCAAGATGAGTGAACTACTTGTGTCATATTCCCTAAATCAGGCCAGGAGAATCCATTGGGAGGTATGTGACTAATGATAACCTGGACACAATGAGAACAGCATGCTGCATATGAACACATTGGTATTCCAATTACTACCAAAGCTGCTATATTTGTAGCAGAAAGCCCTTAAAGATACTCAGATCTTTCCAGCTGTTTTTTAATGCTAATATTAAAGTAGTTTAATAACAGAAATCTAAAGGGCAAATATTTGTCTTTTGGAGTTCTGGCTTTCAACTCCACTGGCCTTCAGAAGGCCATGACATAATCTCTGGGCCATGACCTCTGATGGAAATTTGTGTTTAATAATGTAAATACTAGTGCATTTATCTCACCTGTGTCAAGGTGAGCTTGCAGTATAAAGAGCCACATTTTCTTCAGCAGTTCTCTGTTCTTCTTGGTTAAGTCCTTCAACAATGAAGTCTTTTGTGCTGCTTTTCCTGCTGTCAGGTGGGTATGCGGCACTTGCGCCTGCTCGTCGTTGCCTGGACGGCCTCGCGGGTACCACTAACCTCTGTGTTTCTCCTCAGTGGGTGCCGCCACTGCAGATGTCTCACCACGGGCAGTGTGGCAGCTGCGTAAGATGATCAAATGCACCATCCCGCACAGCGACCCACTCATGGATTTTGCTGACTATGGCTGCTATTGCGGCTTGGGAGGCAGTGGGACACCAGTAGATGAGCTGGACAGGTGAGTAAGACCTTTTGCACCCTCTTTGCTCTCCTCGCTCGCTTTTCGTCTGCAGCTCCAGTTCTCTGTCACCGCTCACAAAATCCTCTGTCTGCTGCAAATGAAGATTTTGCCCCAAGACTGATCTAAGGGACGAGGGCTGTGCGTTATCACACCCTGAGGTGTTGTTACCGGGATGAAATGCAACCCAGGTAGCTCGCTGCCACACTCGGTGCTGAGCTGCTGCACACCGAGCACCAGCCTGGTGCATTAGAGATCACCCAAGGCCAATAACCAGGGACCAGTGAGCTAAGCCCAGTCATGCACTGGGCACTGGCTGGGACCTAGGGAAACTACTGTTTTTGTGCAGTGTGTCCCTTGCAACGATGCTGAATGAGCACATGTGAACTGGGCACTTCTGGGTCATTGGTTTCCCCTTGAGGTGCCTCACGCCTGCTCTCCGGGTGCCTCTTCCTTTACCAGCCCAGTTAGGGGTCCAGCAAGGCAGCCGCGTTAGCACTGTGGGCATTTCTGACCTCCTCCTCATCTCCTAGGTGCTGTCAGGCACACGATCACTGCTACAGCGAGGCAGAGAAACACCCGACGTGCCAAACCCTGCTGGACAACCCCTACACAAAAACGTACAGCTACAGCTGCTCTGGCGAGGAGATCACGTGTAGCAGTATGTGCACCTCGGTGCTACTCCCCTTGCACGTCCTCTCTGCAGAAAGGCAGCTGCGCAGCCCTGAGCGCAGCTGCTGGATGCTGCACAGAAGCGCTTCCCACAGCGATCCCAGTGCCCCCTTCACCCCAGCGGGAGGGCTGGTTGTTAGACAGGGGTACCCTGGCGCTGGAGAAAATGCTACGTAGTGATTCCTGGCCATACTAGAAGTGAGAGGGTATTTACGGCATGTAGGGAGGGCTGGCCTTTTCAGGGAACAGATGGCATTTTTCTGGCAGTCCTTTTAATTGAAGTATTTTGGAGTGCTGTGAACCACTGGGTGGTTTCGCAGCTTCTGCCAGACATTTTTAATGCAATAGATTTCAGCTCTGACCAGGTTCTGGGGCTGAAACAGCAGCAAGTCCAGGAGAGCTGCAGCAGGATGAAAGTTGCTGCACTGGGATCCAAGAAAGCAGCTCCAGGGAAGAGGCTTTGCGGTGGGGGGGATGTCACTGCAAAGCATCGGCCCGCAGCAGGGTGCAGGAGCCGCTGTGTCCTGTGAAAGCGCAGGCGGGCTGCGACGCGTGCCCCCTCTCTCTGACAGGCACCAACACGGACTGCGAGATGTTCATTTGCAACTGCGACCGCACCGCCGCCATGTGCTTTGCCAAGGCGCCCTACATCGAAGCCCACAGGAAAATGGACACCAAAAAGTACTGCAACGAGCCTGCTTCCTCCGAGGCCTGAGGGCAGCAACAGGCCGGCGGCTGCTGCCGCCTAATAAAACACCTTGCAATGATCAAACACCACGGGCCTCGTCCCTGAGTGGCAGCGCGGGCGGCCGGCGTAACGGCCGCCAACGGCCGCGCGTAACCGCCGCGTTACGGCCGCAAGGCAGCGGGCAGAGCGGGGGCGGCGGCCAGGCCCCGCCCCCTTTGCAACGGCCTACTGTGGCGCTTGCAGGTTCCGCGCCAGCGCGTTCTCTGATTGGCCGTTAGGAGCGGCGGGGGGCGGGGACTGCGAGCCCGCCGGGCCAGGGCGGGCGCGAGGCGGGAGCAGGTGCGCGCGCGCGGCAGCCCCGCCCCTTTCCCTACAAGGCGCCGGCGCCTTGCTGGGCCTGAGGTGGCCTTGGCTGCTGCTTTCCCTCTATCCCCGCCTGTCCTTGGGCAGGCGTCATTGTCCTGCTGCCTGTTCCTTGTCCTAGTCCTGCTGCTGTTTGTCTAAGGGCTGGGGCTTTTCTCTGCTCGCCTTACCACTGAGGAGGTCATTGCTGGCCTGCCCCCCAGCCTGCTCTCTGATAGCTGCTTCATCGTGGTGACATTGTGGAAGGGCTGAGGAAGCCCTTGCTTTAGGGCAGCATCTGACTGGATCTGTCCATTCATCCAAAAGTGCCCGGTCCTACTGACTGGACCGGCTGCTGACAGGCCCTGGCTTGTGTTATGGAGCACGTGAACTCCTGGACAGGGTGTCCAGTGCCCTGGCCCTGTTGGGTGACAGGGCAGAGGGGCAGCATGGCAGGAGCCCCCTGTGCATCTCGGGCAGCAGCTCCATTGGTGCCAATCTGTGCACTCTGCACTGCTGTCTCTGCGCAGGTGCAGGATGGAGACCTTGGATGAGTTTGACAACGAGTGCCCCCTCAGCATGTCCTTCTGCAAGCTCATCTCTGTGGAGGACTTTGAGGAGCAGTCCTTGTCCTACACCCAGCAGTGCCTGCACGAGCTCTTCTCCCACATGGAACGGGACCCCAGCATCTGTGAGAAGGCTGTGCGAAAGCAGAAGCAGATGGAGAAGGAAAAAGCTGGTTTGATATCATTTTTAAAGGTATCTGCTGTGTCTCCCTAGTCAAGGTTCTGAGAATTTGGAAGCCAGTAAGGAGATAATAACAGAGGCAAATTACATTAAAAGAAATGCCGCACAAGCAAATTCCTCTATCTTAGAAGCATATTGATTCTTAGATTTGTACTGTTACTGCATTCCTATTTTTGCTCAGATGTCTGTGCACGTGTATTTTCTGGATGTTTTGAGCTCCCTTGGGATTTTCCTCCACAGAAATCTGGAGGATCCCATATGTGGTCCCGTCCTATTGAAAAGATGAGCCCTTGCTATGGAGGGAAGGGCGAAGGCGAGTCCCTGGGCCCCCACACACTGCCCTTGTTTCCGAGATAATTGATTGCAGATCAGTAAAGGTCCTAAGTAAAAGTTACTGCAGTCTCCTTATAGTGATAAATGATAAAGTCCATTGCAGACATGAAAGCCAAATGCCATTGTTATATGGAAAAACACCAGTTTTGAGATAGCCCATCACCAGCAGGGAAGGGAGCTGGATTGCAGTTCCAAGCGTTATGTTTGCTTTTGTCAAGTACCTTTCCCTATAGTAGGAGCTCTCTATGTTTGAGATGAGTAGCACAGACACGGCTGGTCTCTGGGATGTGCTTGCATTCCCCAGGGATATTCAATGGATAGGTGAATGCACCAGCTTATTCTGTACGTGTATCCCTGTGCTCAGAGGGTGCTTTGAAGCCATGAGTGGCACCACGGCTGTTTGAGCAGGCACCAGAAATGCTGTGGGGAGGGTTACTCTGTGCCTGTGTGTCTGTCAGTGTCTTATCTTCCTTTTCCCTGTCGTTTTCTAGGCCAAGATGTTTTGGACGTTGCAGGGAGAACTGAATTGCTGTAACTATGTGGGCATTGCAGAGATGCAAGAAAAAGCATCCCAGCTGAGACGAAACATGCAGCGAGCGAACAACTATGCTCGAGGTAATGAGTGTGTTTCAGTTTCCTTTTAGGCCTGGAGACCAATGTTGGACACTCTTCCTTTCATTTTTTCTCTCAGACTCAGCTCTTCTCACCTGCTCCTGTCTGGCTAGTGACACAGAAAAAAAATGGCAGAAATCTGTAACTGGGCATCTCTCTCTAGTGGGAAGGGAGAAGACAGACAGTTGCACACAGACTTCCAGATATCATCTGTATCTGGAGCTGGGCTTTTAAGTCCCAGTTGGCTTGATTCTGACTTTCACCTTTCTAAAGCTCCCCATGCCCCCATTTTTTTTTTTGTTCCTGATCACTCAGGGAGGATCTTGGAGATGATAGTGTTGTTATTTATCTGCCATCTTTACATTCTTTTTCTTCTGAATGGTTCAGAATGTGTTATAAAAAGGCATAGACCATATATTGTATCTGTTACACTAAGAGAGACAGACACAGAGAAATAAAGTGGCTTTTTGAATCTCAGAGTTCTGAATTGATCAGAGAAATGGGAGTTCATTTCAGTTCTCATCCCTCCAAGTCTTGTATCCTGTGCTCTGGGCAACACTACCAGCAGGTTTTCCCTTTACTTAGGATCCACAATGTGCTTATTTGCTGTCATCTTGCTCTTGGTAGCTGGCTGCATTTTAGTGTTGTTTTACATGTACCATTTGTGGAACACTGGCAGTTAAGGTTGCTTCATAAACTCTGGATATTAATTACTCATGAATTTTCCTATCTAGATCCTTCATGTCTTACTTTCTGACTTTCTTGGTTACCGCTTTTGTGGACAACAGGGGAGAGAGGATGTACACAAACCCATGAGAAAGGGAGAGATATGAGGGAAGAGGAGTATTTTACCTGTTTTGGATCAAGGAAAAGGCAAAAGCTTTTAGTCCAGCCAGAAGTCTTCAGAATTCTGAACCCCATAGTTATAATAATAAAAAAGATAAAGCAAGCCTTGATAGGGAGGGCCATACCCTTAACATTGCCACTCTTTTTTTGTGGCTGTTGCACATGTGCTGGAGGGGGATCTCTAGAGGAGGCTCTGCGGTGATGGGTTAGTATGCAAAGGAGGCACTATTGAGGGAGGCAGTTGTATTGGGTTGCACTGGATTTGGGGACATCTTAATTCAGTAAATATTTCCCCATGTCCTTCGGAATGACCAAGCCCAACACAAATAAAACTGCAGCAGACTTTGCTACTCTGGTGGCAGATTTTAATTGTGGAATTAAAACTGCTTGGAAATCTAGACGATGTTTTCCAGGATGTAGGACTTGTCCATCAGTGATTCGATCAGGCCTGGCATCCACTCTTTGAACAGCAGCAGAGGTTTTAAGCTCCAGTAGGGATACACGACCTCTCGCTGTCGCAGCACACCTCCTTTTACTATTTCCTGAGCACACTCTTCCTTTGGATTGGCAGCCCATGCAATTTTGTCACCAACTATCCTCACAGCATTGTCTAGAGTAAAAGGAACAATAATCAGACCAAGGGTCTTCACTGCCTGTCCTTTAATAGGAGAACCCCAAGTAAAAAGTCTACACTATTACTGAGCTATACCCTCAATTATCATCTGCCAGGTCCCAGATCTTTAAATTTTATTTATTATTTTGTAATTCATAGATACGTGGATTCTGCAGCTCTTCTCTCCCCATCTCCCTTCCTTTCCCCACCTCCTCCTGGTGTTTTCTCTTGCTCATAGGATTTCATTTTCATGTTGCAGCTTAAAGATCACGTCTTTACCTAGTAAAAAGCTATGGTATTTAGGGTGTGTGTGCAAGGGCGTGTTGGTTAGTTTTTACCTGTATTGATATATCCCAGCACAGCAACTGTGACAGAGAGGTTGGTCTGCTGGAGGTGAAGCTCCCTGCGCAGAGAGCTGTAGAATCCTTCCAAAGCAAACTTGGCTGCACTGTATGATAGGGTGAAAGGGCTTCCAATACGACCTGAGGGAAAGCAGACCAACAGGAATTGCTGTGACTGTCACCCTGGGTCACTGAGAAAGTGCTTGTGGACAAGAAGATGCATTGAAGGTTAGAGGATGCACCGTGATCCAGTTCTAAATGCTGCTTGTGCCTTTTGTTTGTAGAGAGCTCAGAAATGGTAATTATCTCTAGTGAGATACGATAGCTTTGCATGCACACGAGGTTTTATGTGGCCCTTCACTCCCAGTCCGTTGTGATACCGGGTCATGGAGAAGTGTTGTGTGCAAGGGAGAGACTAGTCTCAATTAGCACGGAGCAGATCAATTTTAAAGGAATGCTTTGTAAGGCTGACTTAGAGGAGAGGCAGAAGTGTTCATGAAAGAGTTCTGTAACAGGTAGGAGGGGAAAAAAAAAAAAAGGATTGGATTTTTTCCTGCAAAGCAACGAAGGTAATTCCAGCATTTTTGATTGGCTGCACTCAGAAGTCAGTAGAGTGAACAGGAGAAGCCTTCCTTACCGCTCACGGAGGATACAACAATGATGCTGCCCTGAGACTCCTGCAACATGCTCAGTGCCGATATGGTCAGCTGCACATAACTCAAGAAGTTGATGGTCATGGACCTACTCACTGCTGCCATGTCCCCTTTGAAAGGGCCAAAGTATTCACTTCCTCCCACGTGGTTCAAAACCAAGTAGTCAAGACCCCCTGAAAGAGAAGAGAGAACATGGCTTCATAGGAAGTTTAGGGCTTGGTTCCTGGACTGGTGCAGGTGAAGAATGGGCTTCATCTTCATCTACTCTTCACAGAGAGCAGCTACTTGCTGTTCATGAAACAGCTTATTAAAGGGAGAGCTCCACTAACTGTCATGTCTTGGCCCTGTGAGGCTGGATCTGCTGCTGGCATGTTAAGCTGCTTCTTGTTAACATAGGGATGGGAACCTGCACATGTCCCTTGGGTCACCCTCTCCTGCTATCTTATTTGGGAGAGTGGCCCTTGTTAAGACAGAAACAGAGTAAAGGTCAGAACTAGGCCACCCAGAATATTTTTTTCTATGGTAATTCTGGGAGAGAAGTTACAGATTTTGCAGTCCTTATGAGGTCAAAGCTTTACCCAGGCTGTTTCCAACATCTTCAATGACCTTCTGGGCTGCAGTGAGGTCACTCATGTCTGCTACGATGTGTCTGGCAGAACTTGCTCCGAGGGCCAGACACTTCTTTGCCACCTGGAGAGAAAAGAGCAGGCTCAAAGCTGCAGCGTACAGGTACGGTGTTCCTGCTGCCGTTGTTTGTGCAGCAGTTATGTGCAGCACGGAGGAGAGCACGCGGCTTTAGTGAACGGGGAGATGTTTTCAACCTAACATGGACAGAACTGACCATAGCTGGAGAATGCTGCAAGGTGGGGACAGAGGTGATGACTTGCAGCAGGGTGTGAGGACAGTGCAAGGGCAAATGCTCGGATTGTTCACTGTCTGCGTCCCGCAGAGCTGAACTGCACATGTGTGCTTAGAGAGAGCCTAAGTGTTCTGTTATTTAATTGCTGTCTTGCATGCTTACCTGCTTGAGCTGTTCTTCTCTCCTGGCAGTGAGGAACACATGGGCTCCCAGGCGAGAAAACTCATAGGCGATTTGTTCTCCAATGCCCGTGCTGGAGCCTGTGACCAGCACGCGCTTCCCTCGCACCATATCTGCATGGGGATGTGGGTGAAGACTGTTAGTAGGGAATTTTTTCCCTGTTCCTTTCAGAACAGTGAAGTAGTTTTGGTAATGGCCTGTTTAGTAGAGTACAGCAGTTGAGGGTGAAATGTAATTGGGCAAGTTGCAGAGGGCTGTGTTGTTTTACCCCATTCTGGTCACTGAAGGGTGCTGGTGGGAGGAGTGGTCAGCCCATGCCTTTCTAAAACAGTCCTGATATCTTGTGTGCTGCTCAGAAATGCATCTCCATCCAGGAATTCCCAATCTGAAAGTCAGGGCAAGCACCAGAAAGGTGGCTCTCTGTGGGTTTCTTTTAGAAGATATTACCCCAGACCAACTGTTCTGCTGCTGGATGGAGAATGAATGTCTTACAAAATATTTGCTTCAACTGCAGCTTTCCGAAGGAGAAGCATGTTCTGTTTCTTTTCAAGACACCTGTTTCTCTTGCACTTTGAACGGTGTCACTGAAACTTATTTCCCAACTGCTTCTCATGAGCAACAAGGTCCGCATTTCAACACCCCCTTTAAAATAGACTTTCCCCTTTAACTTTCACTCTGATTGAACGAGACAATCACATAAATCAAGTAGAGCTTTAGAAAGTGTCTTCAACTCATTTGGCTGTGGACAACCCAGTAAATGGAGGTTATTATTTCTCTTCATACTACGCTCTGAAAATGCATCAAAAAGCATTAATTTCTATCTTGCCTTTTAACATTTTTTTTTCCCCAAGCAACAAAGGCTTCTTGAGACAGTGAGAAGGCAGCCCACTCGTATGATGCCTTTCATTTCCCAAGGAGCGTCCAGCTTTCCTTACCTGCAGAAATGGTTTCTTCATTATAGAAGTAGTAGGCGCAGAGGCAGATGAGGAGGGAGATGATGAGCCTGGCAGCAGCCATGGTCGGGTCTGTGCTTGCAGACCGGAGTCAATCGTTAAACCAAAGAAACTCGTGCCAGGCGATAAACAGGGAAGGGACCTTATTTGCTTTTGTCATGTGCTACCTGCCAGAGTTAGGAATCAAGCATTCGCTCCCACTCCTCCACAGTTTTTATCAACCTGTGAACTCTGGGTCAGGGATTGAATCACTGTGGAAGTTCGGCTTGGAGAGTTCCAGAGTCCAGCTGTATTTTCTTCTCCTTGGCTCTTACTGGCATGAGCTCATGGGATCACACTGGAAATTTGGATGCAGAGAGTGCCTAAATCTTCCTATATGTTTCTTTTTTTGCAGTCTTTTTCTGATAATGGAATAACAGAGAGTCCCAGAAATACTGTTATTTGCAAAACCCGCCTTTTCTAATTTGCTTTTGCTGAAGCTGCACAGATTGCCTGGGTTCTGCAACCCTCTATATTATGAGCTCCTTTAACACATGCCCTTTTTCCCTCTCTTTTATGTTTAGCCTTAGCAATTGTTACCAGCTTAGTTGATGATACTCTCAGGGTGAGCAGGTAACAATTTCTGATTGTCCACTGCATGATTTCCTGTTCTGTGCAGATTTGGGTGCACTGCTCAGCTGCATTGCTCCCACTGGGGACTTGCAGATAGAAAAGGTCACGGAAGCGCTAAGTCAAGAGGAAAAGAATTAATGGGCTTCTTTGTGTCTTAATTCTGAAAGATCAAGATCACTTGTTAAACAGTAACCAGAAAAATCAAAGGTGTTTTTAAAGGCCTGTATTCCAGAATTTAATGCTCCTTCAGAAAGAAAGCATCAACCAGGAGAAATCTGGCATTTGAAAGATAGTATTTCACAGACCTGTGATGGAAACAGCCAGGCCAGCAGGACTGGAGAGGCAAAATCCTCTGTCATAAATTTCTCCTCTTGACATCTCTTTGATAGTCTGCAAAGACAAAGTTAATTCAGATCTCAAAACTCCTGCATCAAGGATACTTGGGAAGGTGGGTGCGGGTAGTGGTAAGAAACACTGACTGGGGGACTGTGGGGCTGAGATCCTTGTCATTTCTTTCCCAGTGTCTGCAGACAGCTCCCTGGAACTGGAGCTGTCATTTGCTGTTAACTGCCCTGGGAGAGGTTTTGTGAGAGGAAGACTCCATTTCTTATGCCCAAGCCCTAGGTTTTCAACAAACCAAGGGAACCAAACAGGTACTTGGCACTGGTTTGAAATGCCTCTTTTTGTCTTGCAGCTGCAAAGACAGGGAAGGGGCGATGTGCAAGGCAGTTACGTGGAAAGAAGAAGCCTTTAGAAGGTGGATTTAGCCCCTCTCACTCCAGGCTTCCTGAAACTTCCAAGCTCACCATGCCCAAGGTCTTTGGACCTTTTCCAGAAGTCGTGAATAAGCAGGTTTGTCCATAAGAGCAATCTGACTCTAAATGTGGGAGGCTGCTCTTGCACCCTATCCGCTAGGTACATGTCCTGCTGTCCATCTGCACTCTGTGCTGCCTTCTCTGGAACACAGTCCATGAAGCATCTCCAGCTGCAGGACTCTGCTTGAGAACCTGCACATATTTGGAGACAAGACTTGCCAAATATGAAGTACCTTTTACATGCTCTGGGAATTCTAGGCTGTTAGAAAGGAGAAGTATCCAATATAAATCACTTCCAGTTTCTCTATCCAGACCTCAGGAGCTTGTCCTAGTAGGAACAGCTGTGAGGAAAAAGGTTCGAACACTCGCTGATGGCTTAGCTGTCTTCGTGGTTTAAAAAAAAAGTAAAGGCTTTTTTACTGTTGTCTAGAATGAGCTTTTATAAACCATAGGTGGACAGAAACGCCGCTTCAAACCCTGACCTGAAGCAGCAGTGGGCTGGCGTATCAGCGATGAGCCAGAAAAGGTAAGAATGACTGAGGCATCAGTCTTCAGGCTCTGTAACACTCTTTTTCCCTCCTGTGAGTGTCAGACAGTAGCGTGAGGATTACTTCCTTTTTGTTTGGTTTCTTAGGACAATTATTTCTTCCCCACTCTCAGCATTTGCTTTTGTAAATTCTGATTAGATCCAGAGAATAAAGCTGAACACCAAGTTCTGTCCCTGAGTTTGTTGTCTTCCCACAGCATGGTCGATTTGCATCCTATAGTGCTCAACCCTGGAGGTTTTTACAACTCCCTGCAGGCTGGTAACGGCGTCAATAAGCTGAGACACACCAACATCTCAAGGTAGGTCTTTGCTCGTTACCTGCAATGGCACAGCCAGCCTTGATGGCCCTGCACTGCAGTCGCCTCACAAACAGCCCCAAAGGGGCAGCAGGGAAGGTGTCACTCCATGTTAACAGTAACGCAGATGAGGCTTTTGGCATAGGAACTTTATTTAGGCTTTCTGTGGCATTTCCTAGTTTGGTGAACTTGCTTCCTAGTGGTGTCTGGGGAATGTGGCAAGGGGTGAAGTGCTCTGATGTTCTCAGACAAGTCAAATCCCATTTTAATGGTGCTGGATCAGCTCAATAGGAAAACAAGAAAGGAGCTTTGTCATCTGAGCTTCATATGCTGATTATATATTTGCTTATTAATGTATAGTCATAAACCGTGAACAGGGAATTTACTCTAAATGATGCTGTTCCTGGTAACTTACAAGTATAATCAGTGGAGGGCCAGGGTAGCGTAGCTCATTTATCATTTATCCGTGATACTGAAGAAGCGCCTTGACTCCTCTCGTGGATGCTCTGTTGCTGAGCTGGGGAAGAGGCAGGAATAAGTGTGGCAGGTTTAGTTACCTGTCACATTGTCTGTATCAAGTGATTTGAAATGTTTTCTTGTTCCAGATTGCTTGGTGGTGCTTCCACACCGTCTCCCCTGCATGTTGACTCTGCAGGCACTAAGCCTGCAGCCCCTGTGCTCACCACACCCATGCCCTGCAAGTTTCAAGGTGGTGGAGAAGAAGAAATGGACAGTGAGAAACCTGGGCCCAGTTCATCTTCAAACGGGGCGTAACTCTCTCATGCTACATCGAAGGCCTACGTGAATAAACTCCATGGAAGCTCCGTGGTTGGGTGTGGAGCCTCTGCTGTGCCTTAGCAATGATTGCTCCACAGCTTTGCTTAGCAGGGCAGTTGCACGAGGCTAGAGATGGAGTGACCCCACTGAGCTTTTACTTCACCAAGCAGAAGGTATCTCACTGGAAAGTGGGATCTTTACCAAAGGTGAGCAGGATGTGGGATCCCAGTAAGGGATATGAACTTCACTTCTGAACTTAGCTTCTAAAGGGAAAGTCCATCATTTCCAAATCTTGAAACACACACGAGTATTTAAGTGCCTCTAGCTTCTGTGGAAATTGGGTACCTAATTATCCTTTAACATTTATTATTTACTTGCTCCTGCATTGATTTGAAGCAATAACAGAGCAGAAAGAGCATTGTGTCACGTGGCCAGTTCTCACTGCTCGCCTAGTTGCTCTTTTGGCACTGACTTTGGCATCCTGGCTTCCAACCAGTCATTAGTTCTTATCAAAATATTAATACAGAACATGTTATGGGGAGAGTAGGACTAGGGCTTTCCTAAATGGAAATTCTAACAATTCAATTTTTTCACACCAGGAAAGAGCGACAGATTCATGCTGAAGGTCAGTTCAAAAAATTCAATGTTCCAATCTGGGCAAAACTGTTAACCCACACATGGCTTAATATATCTCGAGGTACTACTCTAAGAATCAACAGAATGTGGTTACCCACTCGTGATGTGTCTGCTGTCAGGAGTGTGCAAAATTCCACCTGTGAATAGCTTGAGCCTTCCCTCCTGAGGGAGGCCTATTGTATAGATTGAATTGTATTATTCTCTTAATTCATCAAGTGTTAGTAATTACATCTTGCATTTTTGCAATGGAACAAGTGAATCTAAACTGGCTATTGAAGCTGAACTTGAATACATCATATGAGGGAGAGGAAATTACAGTGTAAATAACAGTTTTATAAACAATTTTATTTTGCCACAGAACTACTAATCATCAACATAACATCTTCAAACATGTGCTCTAGAAAATGGAGCAGCTATACCAGAAGCAGCTCTGGTCAGATTAGCTAAGAGAAACTTCCCAGACATCTCAAAAATACATTATTTTTAAAGGGTTCAGATAATAACTAGCTTAAGTGGCCAGCTGACAGCAGGGACAAATGCTTTTTCCCCTCCTTGGTGGAAGATGTCAGCCTTGTGTTCTGCGCTTTCCAATTGTCTCCTGCAAGAGCTGTGTTCTTCTACAGCTTCTCTTTTGAACCGTATTTTCCGTTACAGTCTCCTCCCAAGCAGAAGGCAGCCAAGGTCCTCCTGCCTCCTTTTGCTCTCTGCAGGCCCTGTGGCTGCAGTGTCAGTGGCTCTCGCAGCTGACAGGGTGGTGACATTGCCCTCCTGCCCTACTCTAACGCATCAACTTACTCAAACTCCATCCCTCATTCTTTCTTGGGATAACTATAAAAAAAAAAGTATTGTGCCAGATATAGAATTCTGATTGTCCTGTCCCAGTGACTGCAAAGAAAATGCACTGTTTGCAACAACAGGGTAAGGGAGGAGAGAAAAAGAAGTTTTGCATCATCCCTCTGTTCCCAGCTAAATTGGGATGATTTCAGTGCGGAGACTTGGCCCAGCTGGCATGTGTGAGGGTTGCTGCCCTCTCCTGGGCTTCTCCAGGGTGGTGCACTGGTCTCGCAGCTGCCTCTTCAGTTAAGGTATTTGCACTTTGGAGATGATAGGTCCTACAAGAATGGAGGGAAGAAGCTGCTTTATAGATGGAACTGGTTATTTTACACAGCAGTGCCTTGATTAGCTGGATTAATTCAACTAGGCACTGTTTTCCAGTCATCAATAAAAATCACAGTGACTTAACAGATCTTAATGAATCTCTGCATTACAAGGAAAGATTGTAGCATGTAACATTAATCGCGCTGATCAGGTATGCAGCTTTGCAGCTTATTCCATGTAGCTTTCTGACTTCCTTTGCCCATTTTTTGAGTGTTTGTACTCAGGTGAATCAACCATGCTTTTCACTTGCAGCAAGTAGCCCCATGGCCCATGAAAGTGCACCAGTTACAGGAAAAAAACGACAGGTTTTGGTGTGTATTATTGGAATGTATTTTTAGTTGGCTCATCTTGGTGTCTTTCTGTCAAGGTGTCTCAGTGTTTGATGGGCACGTGAACAGGCACAATCTCTGCCCCTCCAGGTGACCGAGCGCACAAGGTACCTCGTGAAAACCTTTTTCCTCAACAGGCACCAATCCTCAGCTCGCTGGGTCAGTGGGCATTGATCAAAGGCAGCAGCTCCCCGCAGCGTGAGTTCAGTTTCAGCGACGCAAAGTGATCCAGCCTGGTCGGCCCGATGTTAAGCACCGCGATGGGCAGCCGCTTCTCCCGGGCGGCCAGAGCGAAACGGTAGCCAGAGTACACCTGCACAGAGGAGTAAGAGACACTCGTCAGCCTGCAGAGCACACCTGCACAGAGGAGTAAGAGACACCCGTCAGCCTGTAGCCAGAGCACACCTGCACGTGGGACAAGAGACACCTGACAGCACAAGAGGCACGAGGGAAGTGGAGAAGACGGTGGTGGTTGTTGGTTAGTAGGAAAAGGGGCAGGAGGTACTTGCTGTGTTATGCAACTGCACTTCATTCAAGCAGGAAATTTCTATACTCAGGTGTGCACTGAAAAGAGCAGCTTTTAACCTGTGTCACTGAAGAGTTTTACAACAGAAAATATTTACTTTGAAGAGAAATGTCCTTCCAGTAAGTCTCTGCACTAGCTTTTCTCAGTTACTATAGGTACTTAAGTGCTTCCGCTTTGATGGTTCTCACGTGGTCCAGCTTAGGAAGTACAAGAATGAACCTGAGGTGTTTCACTCATTCCTGTACTAAGAACAAGAAGCTCCAGAAGTACAGGCTCAAGGAATTTGGCCTTCATATCCTGAACCCAAGAGAATCACAAAAGGACAGCCTTGTTCTGGGAGGCATTAGAATAGTTTTTCTTAATGTACATTAGCATTTTGTAATAGAAGGTTGCTGCTGTAAACATCAATTATGCAAACTCAGCTCCAGAAACTCCCCCAGGTTAAACAACAGGGGAGTTCAGACCACATTACCTTATTGATAAAACATGGCTAATGGAGAAGGACCTTAAAAAAAAGAAAAAAAAAAAAAAAAAAAAAAAAGACAGTCCTAAGTGGCATGCGAAGATTTACTGTTGTCTTCAGCAGTTGCGGAACTAGAGATCCTGAAATCTGGTATTTCACACGGTATACATGATGCCTAAGAAGCCACCAAGGTTAAAAGCTCAAGCAAAGAAATGCGGGGTGGTGATCTCTGCAGGGCTGGGTTGTGTCAGGGATCCTGGCTCTACAAGGGAACTTAAGCAGTCAGAGCATTGCAGGAGAGGGCAGAACGTGTGAACGCCTTTATTTACAGCAGTTCCAAGGCAACTGATGTTGGAGTGACAGGGAAGCCCAAGCAGGACAGATTCCATGGACAGTAAAAATAAAATACTGGGAAGCTCTGGAAAGGCCATAGATCAACATGACAGCAAACAGCAGTCCCATATTGTGGCCCCAAGGCCCCCCAAGAAAGAATGCAGGAAGGCAGGAACATCTGGATACCTGCATGGAGGATCCTGCCACCAGCATGGAGTCTGACTCTGCCAGCCGCTGGTGCACGAAGTTCACTTTCTCCCGGCTCACCGTGTCTCCAAAGAAGGTCACATCAGGCTTCAGGATCCCGCCGCACTTGCTGCAGGCCGGCACTTGGAAGGTGCGCACCTGGTCATCTGTCAGGAAGACATCCCCATCGGGAGCCACGCCAAACGCTTCGGCTTTCCAAGTGGGATTCAGAGCTGCAAAGCGCTCCTGAAGCTCCGAGCGTGCACTTTGGTCTCCACAGCCCAGGCAGGAAACCCTGGAACAAGGAGTGAAGCCTTAGAGAGCTCCTTTTAGGCCAAGCCTGATGCCCTGTCACTATCCAGGGTATCCATCAAATAGCACCACTTAGTGGACTATCTTGATGTCAAATTAAGTAGTCGCTTAATTTGTGGCTACTAGTCACAAATAATAGTGATTTGATAGTCAAATTAAGAGCTCCTTGAACAGTAATAATTAGTTACACCACTGAAAGAATCCTCATGCCAGCCAGCCAGCGGTCCCCATTCCAGAACTCCTTGCTTTTCAAGGATGCTCCAGAGGAAACTCAGAGGCCAGTTGTGCCCTACTCCCGAGTCAGGCTGTGCCTTCCCACGCGGAAACCGAAGCAGTCGCAGGCAGCGGCGGCTCCTCTCCAGCTCCCTCGCTGAGTTTCCCTGGCACTACCACCCTGCTCCCTTCACCTGAGCAACGGACATTTGCTACAGCAAGGAAAGGGGATGTTCTGACCCAGACACCATGGGGAATGACCCACAAAATGTTCCCAGAGCCTCTGTGCGTCCCTCCCGGGGGAGCACCTGTGCGTGCAGCCGTGCAGCTCCGTCAGACGCTGGCTCCCTGCTTTGCCATGCAGGGCGTCCACGTTCTGGGTCACCAACCAGTGCAGCTTCCCGTGCTGCTCCCAGTCCCTCAGCACCAGGTGAGCCACGTTGGGCCGCCGGGAGGAGAACTGGGGCCAGCCCACAAAGTTCCTGGCCCAGTAGCGCTGCCGGGCACGGGCGCTGCGCAGGAACTCGCCGTGCTGCACTGGCCGCCGGTCTGTGCGGGCGTAGAGCCCGACACCCTCCGAGCGGTAATCCGGGATCCCCGATTCCGTCGAGACGCCGGCTCCGGTCATGACAAACAGCTTCTTGGACTGAGAGATGAAGTGCTGCAGCTCCTTGATTTCGCCAGGATCAGCGGGGAGACACGCAGGCACGAAGGTCAGGTCTGGAGAGCTCCGGGACACAACGTGGGAGCGGAGAGGCTGGAGTCTGACGGCTCTGCAGCCTCCTGGCAGCTTCCTGGCTGAGAACATGTTGTGCTGGAAGCAGAGGATGGGGCACAGGACGGGAAGAAGAGTGATTAGTGCATTTAATGGGGGATTTTTGCTTTCATGTCTAGCATTAGCTGTGCTTGGCCCTCCTTGCTCAGCAGTTTAGTTTTCCACGTGAATTACCTAAAAAGGACAATTTAGGGGGAAGCAAGAACATGCTTGGAGAATAAGTAATGCGTTGCACTCCTCCCTCAAGGCTGCCGCACCACTTGGGCAGCGTATAAACTGCTTCTGCTGCTGGAAAAGCACCATTTCTGTCACTTACCATCAGAAAAGGGGACAGGGCAACAGCACAGCAGGACAGGCGAAAGGAAGAACGTGCTGGGGACGGAGGGAGCCCCGGGGCAGCCCGGGGGGGAACACGAGACGGGCCGGGAGCGGGAGCGCGGGGCCGGCCGCAGGAAGACTACGGCTCCCAGGCGCCAAAGGGAACGAGGGGGATGGGAAAAAAAAACTTCCGGGGATGTGAAGGAGGGAAATTTAAACGTGCCGGGACGCTTCGGAGCTGCCCGCCCCGACACGGGAAGAGAAGCACTTGCTGCGGACTGCAGCAGAGGCGGCTCCGCGGTCCCGGCGGGGCGCTGCGCTCACCCTCACAGGCCGGGACGCGTGAGGACGGAGTGCAAGGGCCACAGCGCGGTGCCGCGCGGCCGGACAAGGCCCCGGGAAGGAGCTTCCCGGGGGATACCGGAGGGCTGATCCCGAGCGGGACCCGGCGCGCGCGTGGGAAACCCCCTCCCACCGCCCGCTGCCTCATCTGCATACGCTCAATTTGCATAGACATT